CCATGGTTCGGCTGGTGAGGCAATCACTGGTATAGCGCGACGAAAGAAGAGGCCGTTCTCGGAGAAATATTCTCCATCGTCAGATGATAGAGATTTTTCGACCGTTGCTTTGAGTTCCGCGTCGACTTGTTGAGCTTTAATGATGTCTTCCTGAGATATCCTCAGGGGTAAGCCCAGACTTGTGTTTTCTGGAAGCATAGACTCCAGTTTGGGAGTCGAATTTCTTGACGATGATGGTAGGTGTGGTTCAGACGTTGTGTCAGCCAATTGTTTGGTCTGGCTTCTTGTCACCGCACATGCAGGATACAGTTCATAATCATTATCTGGAACTGTTGACAAAGGGTCTGAAACCGTACAGGGGTATACTTTGCTTCCCGCAAGGTCATTCCCTAGAAGTAGGTGTACTCCTGGGACAGGAATACTATCTATCACACCTAAAATGACCTCACCTTCGACGAGATGATGTTTCAGGGCAAACTTGTGTAGAGGGACGACAGTAGATTTCGTCCCTACTCCCTGGATAATGGAAATCCTTCCGGTGTTCGTCTCTGGTGAAATGTCCATTGAACTTTTCAAAAGGAGTGATTGTGACGCTCCTGTGTCTCTTAGAACGGTGATATTCCGCTGAGACAACGGATCACCTGGTTTGCTAATGATGGCTTCGGCAATAAAAGATGAAAAGTCAACTTTTCTCGATCCCTCGAGATCGGTAGACTCGGAAGAAACTGGATGGTGGCGAGAACAGTCAAAATGTGACTGCACATAATGTGTGGAGACTTGACTACCTTCTTGCGGACACTTAGGGTTAGAGTCCTTTAGAATTCTAGAGTTCATAGTTGAACTGGCTGCTTGAGGGGATAGAGCATAGTGCGCGGAAGTACGCACCACCTCTCTGTTATATTGACGACGTTTGTAACAGTCCTTGACAAGATGACCAGGTCTTTTGCAGAACTGGCATACTGCTCGACGATTGAGAGTTGATCTGGGTTTCTCTCTGGACTGTAATGCCTTCACGTGTTGGCCAACAGGAGGATTGCTGCCAAAAAGGGGAAGCACGGGGTTGAGGCGGTTTCCTGACACTGGTGGTTTCTTATGCACCAACATATATGTGTCAGCCGACTCAGCAGCCTTCTGGATGTCAATTATCTTGTTATCCAGTATGTGTAGTCGTATCTCTTCAGGCAGGGACGATAGGAATTCTTCCCTTAGGATAAGAGACCTGAGTTTCTCAAACTCAGAAACTTCTTCAGAGTGTAGCCACCTTGAGAATATTTTCTCCTTTTCAAAGAGAAATTCCACATATGATTGTGTGGGTAACTTGCGGAGTGTTCGGAATTTTGTCCGATAGGCCTCGGGCGTCAGTGCGTAGGCCTTTAAAATGGCAGTCTTGACCAAACTATAGTTATTTTGAACGTCGTGAGAGAGTGCCTGGTATGTTTTTGCAGCTTTCCCAGTAAGGACAGAGCTCAATAAAGCCGTAATGGAAGTTTCGGGCCATTCACATGTCTTCGCTAAACTCTCAAACGAGTTAAAGAAAACGACCAAATCTGTTTCATCAAATTTAGGAACTAACTTCCCAAATTTGGCAATCACTTGCCCTACCGACAACTTTTTTGGATCTACCAGAGAAGTAACATCACTAACTTGACCAAACTCTAATTCCAACCTCCTCTTATCTAAAGCAATTTTAGCCTCTATCTCCTGTTTCTCTAAAGCAACTTTCTCCTTCTCTAGAGCAATTTTAGTTTCAAACTCCTTTTCTTTTAAAGCCTTCTCTAAAGCAACTTTCTCCTTCTCTAAAGCAATTCTAGCTTCTAATTCTACCTTCTCTAGAGTTTTCTCCTCGCGGAGTAACACATCCGCCAACAAACTTTCATCAAATACTCCTTCATTAATGAAATGAACAACAATTTTATCTCTCAACACCTCTGATTTCTGCGTAACAGAATAATCCAATTTCAATTCCTTAACAACACTAACCAAAACTTTTCTACTCAACTTTTCTACATCTTCAAAAGTAGGATTAGCCAAAAAAGACTCCATAACACTAACTTGAAAATCACAACAAGCCTAGATTCTTTAAATTAATACACAGCGTTGGGCCGTGTACCTGACCTCTAAATGTAGGACGTGACACGTCTGCTTATTTGACCTAGATACTCTAGCCTGAGCGCGCGTTGTAAGAACACTGCGCTACTGGATATAAAAACAACTAAATCCAACTAACCTTAGTATTCAACTGATATAACCAACAACTGGAACGACAGATTAAATCCCGGACGGGCCCCCACTTTGTAACTTTAACCTATCTATCAGCCAAATAGAAGGAGAACGTCCCCGGATTCATTTTTCGGGGTCATATGCAAATGCCTTACGGCCTAAGTGGATGAACACTTAACACAACGACACACTAGGGCTCGAATTTAATGTCTAGGGAAGCTAGTGATACTATTGTAATTAACACTCATCCAATCTACATACGACCTTTTAATCAGCGAACACAGTTGTGGCAGAACACAAAGATGAACTAGATAAAATATTTAATGTATAAAATATCAAAAACCCAACTTACAAAATGCAGGAAAAAAACACTATCACAGATTTCTACACTGTCTAAAGAACAGCTACAGGCCACACAACACTGCTATATCTTCAAGACTTACTTAGCGACAAGTAATATTATACTAGAAGACTAAATCAACTGAAGAAAGCAAGGCACACACAGGTCTTAAGTACTCTCACGTTCAAATGGTCAGAGTCTATAGCTGGACAATATGGACGGCTGCCTGATCAAGGTAAAACTGCCTCGTAGACTGCCAGGTCAAGATAAACTGCCTGCGACAAGTCTCAAATGGAGACTCACAGATCACTCAAGGCCACTTGAGCTACTGTTATCGTGCTGGTTGTGTTTCCTATGGTGTGACACTTTACGTGGTTCTAACCACTAGGCCACTAGTGGTGTTCCTAACCACTATGCCACATTACTCGGCAGCCAGCCGAGTTTCTAAGCCACTAGACCACTAGGCACCATAGACTCTACTCAGTTTCTCACCGAGTATTCGAAACTCGGCCGCCGCCGTGGCGCGCCGAGATCCTAGCCATTGAGCTATGGGGTAGTCATCTGATTAGAATCATTCAATCAGATCTTAATGGAAAATTTCTATATCTTAGACCCCTTAATAAGTCAGTGGAAATTTTCCGGTTGTTGCACAATCACTCCATATAAGGTATCATACAATGTCAAAATAAAAATAGAACCTGACTCGACCTAAGTAGGTCACACTCTGTCTATATAAGTTTGTTTTAGAACATGTATTGAATACATCTATGAGCTAACAAGCATCCATACCCAGTCGTATCTTTTGAGAGCACTTGACTTAATCATCACTTGGTATTGTTAATTTCCTAGAAAATGCTTTTCTGCCACCCACAACACTGCAGACAGCATCGATAACAACCTACCAAGGTGAAGATTGCTACGCCCAATTTCCTTTAGCTGGCCAGGACTACTTCACTGACCCCACCAGACAGCTTTGTGCTGGTGAAACCACAGGAGGAGTTGATGCTTGTTCGGTACGTCGAGATTTCACATAAATAACTTTCGAACGATTTCCGGTAACCAGAAGTGGGACTTTATTTCTGTGGGAACAAGATAACTTGAATACCATTTCAGTTAGGTATACACAATTTCATATATAGGTGTAAGATCTTATACTTAAAGTAATTTGCGACATCCGAAAGTGGTAATTTAGTCTATTTCTGGTTTCTAAAATGCCGATAGCTGAAGTACCGTCTGGTTGCTGTCAAATTTTGAGTAATATCCGGTGACCGGAAGTAGGATTTTATTGTCATAAGTGAACTATGTTATTTGAGGGGAGAGTCCGCTTTATATAAACAATGCCTGGGCCGGAGGTGATGACAGCTGGTATTTATACTAAAGTGTTTGCACGTGTTGATATTTGAAAAAAAAAAACACATTAAAAACTTAGTTTCTAGTGAAAAACAACAACTTAGCAGTAAAGTGGGTCCCCTCGAAATCGGGGCCCCTGCTGCAGTCCTCTTAGCCACCCCCCCCCCCCCTTAAATCCTAATCCGCTACTGGTTACATAGTAGTCACATCCAAGCATCGAATTATATATTGATGTGCAGTTTTTCAATATAGTGTGACCCGGGTGCGGAACTACAATACCGCCAGATCCCGCAATGTGGGGGGGGGGGGGGGGGCGGGGGCAGGCCATTTAGAGGGCTCTAAAATTCTACCTAAAAATGTAAAGACTATTAAATGTTAATTAACCATTAAGCAAACTGGCAAAACGTTTTTTTTTCTGTAAATTTTGCTATTTTTTGCTTGTGTCACTCTGTGCGATCTGCACACCTCACCATCTGTCTCTGTCTAACCTCATGAATTTTGATCTCAGGGAGATTCAGGAGGACCCCTGTTCTGTCTGAACTCTGCGACCAACACTTGGGTGGCTGTTGGGGTCGTCTCCTACGGTCAAGGCTGCGCTAGGGCCAACTACCCCGGCGTGTATACTGACGTCAGCGCCTACTACGACTGGATCCAACAGCAACTGTAGAGGCAGACAGCTGTAGAAGCAGACAACTGTAAAGGCAGACAACTCTAGCGACTGCCAAATCTAGCTGTAGATTAGTTTACGATATTGTTCTTGTTGTATGATTTCTCCATTTATAGACATATTATTAAGAACAAGGAGGAGGACGTTTAAATAAAACAGAATCGCATATTTTAATAATAAATACTACATGACAACATAGATCTATATGAAATGTAAGAGCTGGTAGATCCATGTTCTGTGCCAGATTTTTATATTTAACACTTTCATTCTGAGCTTGATTACATTTAGTAAAACTAGAACTAGACTTTTTATTTGGTGTACTGTTACCCTAGAAGATTTAGATTTATCGAGACAGGGGTGTCTGCTGTGTGAGTTTCAATGTGCTCTACTTTTTTCTTCTTAAATCTAGATTCTAGATCTAGATCTATTTCTTTATCTCAGCTTTCATGTCTAGGTCTACGGCAGTCTATGCAAAGTAAAATTAATAGAGAGTTACCTGTCTTGCTAATGTAAGATAAACATAACCGATAATAAAAATAGGAGCAGCTGTAGTCCAAACCTTGGTGATAGTGACAACGAAATTTTGTGGAATAAAATGTGATATCTGACGATCAGTGGCGTTTGCCTAATGTTTTCGGTTTAGTATCTTCTGTTTTTTTAATTTACAACTGAAATAATATTGGTGTCTGATGTGCGTTTGCAACTGCTGTCATGTCATCGCTGTCGAAAAATTTAATGATTTTTAATTCTCACACTGCAGCTAGGGATAAAATATTTCGGTATGCACTTTTTTACTTTTAAATGTTTTAAGTTTTCTAGAATTCTATTGTCTGATAGTCTTATAGTCTTATAGACTAGATCTAATAATTAGGCCTAAGCAAATTATTAATAGATGGGCTTTAATTATTTAATTATTAATAATTATCTGCTTTATACTACTAAGACTAAGATCATAAGATGTACTAGTCTAATGTGTAGTAATTTTACTATTTTTTTAGGACTAGGCCTATTATTAATAATTATAATTAATAATTAGACTGGCTAATATATATAAAAAATGGGTAATCTATCGTTTTAGGTACGTAAAATCGCCTGCGACTAGTAATGTGAAAAACAGGTGACTCCTTAGATTTTAATAATTATTTCACATTTTGAGGATGATTTATGTTTTGAAAAATACGAAAATATTTCCTTGTTTATTGTTTCATTTATGTACCTGTTTTTAAACAATTGAATTAAAAATTTTCAGTAATAAATAAAGACTAGCGATGTTTCCAACAGATGCAATCATGCTCATTTACTATAGCAGCCATCTTGTTTTTTTTGTGTTTTTTTATAATAAACTTATAGCGCAAGATTCAGGGGAAGCCACTCTAACTTACAGATGGCCGCTTTTTATATAGCAAATCCTGCTCGCAAACACTGCTGTTTAAAGTTAATTTCTTGCCAATATTGATATATTTAGCCATTGATTAAGGTTTATTATTCATTTATCTATAATATTTGACACAAATATATCACAATATACTTCTATCAAAGCCTTGATAATGAGGTAACTTTTTCGGACATTACTAGCCGTGCGCGATTTTACGTACCTAAAACGATAGATTACCAAAAAATTTACTTATGTGGTAGATTCTAGAATCTATGTAGTATTTTAAATAGTAAAATTGGTTATAATATGCTACAATGTTTGTATTAATGTGGGGAGGGGGTGGTGAATAAGGCTAAGCAGTTCAGTCAACACACAATTTCAATCTTTTATTATTCATTTTATGTATGAAACTACTTTTTAACTGTTATGGATGTTTTTCTTTTACAAATTTTAGGCAATATTTTCTTAAAATGAAATGAATAAAATTCCTTTGTAAAAAAAATAATTCATTATTTCTTGTTGAGTCAGTATGTTTGCTGTAGTTGTGGAGTTTCAGTGAAAGTTATCTGGACTTGATAAAGTTTAAGGTTATAAAACAACATGCCGTGTAGCGATCATTTTAGAGTAAATGTTTCAAGGAAAATTAGGACATAGAGAATCTAAGCCTATTCAATTTTTAGCGCAATTTCCATTCTGGAGAATTGCATTTATTAACCCGTCATTTCTGGATGTATGAATGGATGGATGGATGTGTGTCCGCAGCTTTAAGTCGTATCTCCTCCTCAACGAAGCAATATCGATGACTAGTTCCAAAAGCAATTATGTTAAGCAAGTTACGAGGATGAGCATAGGCCATAAAAATTCCGGGTTTCTTTCATGTATTTCCCGGAAAAGCCAAAAAACCTCGAAAAAATGCAGTTTTTTGCCCATATCTCGGCAACCAGACCACTTAGCGACTTGAAACATGTACCAATCAATTCCTGCCATAATTTAGAACAATATTACCGAAGAAAGTTTTCAAAAATATCCTCTCGTTCGGGCACAAATTTTAAAATTACATAAACACCTACAAACCGATCGTACTTCTAGCTTGAATGCATTATACGTCAGAGCTATTTTTAGATAACATAAGGAAATTGCGCATAAATGTCACTAGACTTTTTTAATTAACTTGTTTAATAATAAACGTTCTAGTTTTTAAAAAGAAAATTATTTAGAGACAACAGGAAAAGGTCCTTAAAGCTTGATCTTCTCAGGTCATATCTTTGAACCATGTATGTCATTTTAATCAGAAGTTTAAAACCATTATAAATGAATCTCAAAAAAATGAATCTCAAAATAGCCAAGAAAGAAGTACTATCATTAGTATCAACATTGGGTTAAACTTTTATCACATAGAGCCTGGTTAGTAGTGTGAATGAGACCATTGATAATACGGGAACAGTATAAAAATGTGTGGCCATGTATCAGTCAAAGATTTTATATTACTTTAGTCAAGCATTTTTACTCTCATATATTCTTATACTTTAGAAAAATTAGTTGTTTTTTTTTTCATATCAAAAAGTACTTTCAACAATAAAGGAAAATATAAATAATCTTTAAACTTTGCCCTAATAACCCAGATTTGTAGTCTAGCTTAGTTAACAGTGCCTAGTGAATGTACATCAAACTTGTACCATTAATCTAGCTGTTCTGAAACAATAATGTTATTAGTACAATTACAATGCTAAGTTTCATTGTTTTAATATAAGTAAATATCAGTTTTCTTTAGCTGTAACTTAAAGTTAAAGGTTTTGACATTACACATTTACTGCTGTAAAATGACATGCTTAGGAGAGCTTAGCTTAATCCGTGTTCTCTTGTTTACTGAAGCAGCAAGTCGAGGTTAATCTCAAAAGCTTAGTTTGACTCTAAAGTCTAAAACTGTCCTCCAACGCGTGAGATGTGATTTTCTTCACCACTTACACAGCTGTCTGTCTGACACACCTTCCTCCCTCACCATACTTTAGGTGATGTACTGATAAAGGTACTCAGTGAACCCTTTAACCCTCCTCTTTTGATCTTACCACATTCTTAGTTTGGTTCAAGCCTATGCCCCCATCCCAGGCATAGTTCACCAGGTAAAGCTCTTATAATACAAAAAAGAAAAAATATTCATTAATACTCGACTTTAAAAGGTCAAGTATACTTTAACTGTATGTTTTTCCATCAGTAGGAACCAATTATTTACTTTTTTTTTTAACTCTGTGAACTTTTAAACCCTCCCCTCATCCTTTGATCTTACCACATTCTTAGTTTGGTTCAAGCCTATCCTTATCTGAGGCATAGTTCACCATGTAAAGCTCTTATAAAACAACCAGCAAAAATATTCTATAATACTTGACTTCAAAAGGTCAAGTATACTTTAACTGTGTAAAGTGTATTTTTTTTCCATCAGTAGGGACCAGTTATTTACTTTTCTTACTCTTAACATTTTTCTATTGTTATTTAATAAACATGATTACTGATTCTTTTAATTAGCAAATATATTAGGTAATCTTTTATATTTGTTTCCTAGATAAAGAAAAACTTATTTGGTCACATACCTAAAAATCAATGCAGTGATTCTATATACTTAAGTATCATAGTTGTTTTAGGTATTATAGTTTTAATTTAAAGTATGATCAACGTAAATTCCCTCTGAAGATTTTACTCAACCATTTTAATTCAAGCTGTCTGTAGGTGATAAAGTTTGAGACTACCATGTTTGTCAGTTTGAATTGTCTGTTTTCTGCTTGCAAGTGAGATAACAAATTCATTTATCTTACCTGAAGGTCAAGGTTAGCACTGATAAGTGTATTAAAAGTGTTGTGAAATATTTTTTCATTTAAAAATAAGCTATTTTATTTTTTTTTATTTGTATGGTAGGACAAGTGCAAGTTAGGCAGAGAACTTCCCAGTACTCTCACATTCTTACAACATAAAATGTTTTATTGAAATTCATACTAGAGAAATATTTTTTTTAAACTTAATTGTTAGTACACACAATAAAGATGCAGTCCAAATATTGTAATAGGAACATATGAGAAGCTCTATCATTGTTGTGTTTTTGTGAAGACGTTTTTATAAATTACAGTTTTTGCCCAGATTATTAGATGTCATCTGCTCCCAATAACTCTGTAATTCATGAAACTATTCAGTGTTAAGTTGCTGTCTGTAACTAATTTGTTACAAATGAACAGCCACTAATCTCTTCACAAATTTCATATCACTCTCCATGTTACATACACTGGAAAGTTAATTCTAGCTCTGTAGTTGCCCCTGCTTGTTTGCTTTATGCATTGTAAATAAATAAATGGCTCCTAGTCTGATTGATGATTGGTTGGAATCAGGTGCAAGTCCTGAGCCAAATGTCACCATGTATTAGTACCCCCCTTCACATAGCAAATGGACTCAAGAGAAAGGTGCTACTCATACAACTTGGCATCAGCTGTGTCACAGGAGCTACCAAAAAGAAACCAGAGTTGGTAATACAATCACCTAAGGGGCTCCAGTTTGATTTCTGAATTTACCCTTCTAGAAGGGTTGTTGTCCCCAGCTATCAAGCCTCATCTGCTTGGTGTTTGAACTCTGGCCTTTTCAGTTTAGCAACCATGAGCTTGACCAGCCTGACCACACCAACCCCAGTATGCATTGTATGAGCAAATTTACCACACTCTGCCCTATTGATGTTTCTATTTAATGTGATTATTTATATTTTATGATTTCATCTATTTTTTTTTTTATTATTTATATTTGATGATTTCCTCTGGTGTATTTTTTATTTTTCATGTTTGTTGAGATTTTAACTTCTCATTTAATTTATTGACTGTTGTTACCCCATCAACAGATTTGTACAGTATGGCTCTCGTCTGATCTTATGGCAGTTAACTTACGGCTCTCCTGATGTTAAAGGGGGAGTAATCACAAGGTTAAGGAAGCTGGAGGGTGCCTTAGGCTTGTCTCGCAAGTGTGAGTTCATTTCACTTTTTTATTGTACATTTTTTGTTTATTTTTTAAAGTTTATGAGATAATACCCAATGTTAGGATCATAAACCAAATGAATGAACTTTTTAAAGAGGGCAGTTAGGGATTTGTGCCAGCCATTCCCCATTAAACCCTGTTGACTGCTAGTTAGATGGAAAAGGTTTTTATTGAAGTGTCGGGAGTTGATTTCACTGCACTGTGAAAACCTCTCAAGTCCTTCAGATGTTTGATGGCTTGTAGAGTCTGTGAGACTTCAGTGCCAAGATCTCTGCTCCAGCAAACCTATCAGGGACATCTGGTTTTACCATGTCCTGATGGGTACCATTGCTAGGTTGGGAGACCACACCAGCCATGAGCTATTACATAGATCTACATAAATGTTGTTGTTTTATCTACTCTGTAACCGCATAAAGTTTGAATTCCTTAATTGATAACTTTGTAGCTAAATTCATTTATCTTTAAGGTCTTTACCAGTTATAACCTAATTATTGTTGCTAAGAAACCAGAGCAGTAAGATTGTTATAAGAAAATAACAAATAAAACTGTTTGTAATTACCATTTATAACCTACTTAAAGTACTTATTGTTGCTAAGAAACTAGAGCAGTAAGATTGTTATAAGAAAATAATGAATAAAAACGGTTGTAATTACCATTTATAACCTAATTATTGTTGCTAAGAAACTAGAGCAGTAAGATCGTAATAAGAAAATAACAAATAAAACTGTTTGTGTCCAGTATTTCGTCTAGGTAACTGCATTGACTTGGCCCACAAAGCTTCTGATGCTCTCTCCATCCCTGAGCTGGGCATGAGACTGCTGACTTTTACATCACAAGTCATGAAAGCTCTCTGGCTTCTCATTGACCATTTACTTTGGTTTAGTAAAGTTGGTCTTGTTAATGTAAGTGTTTTTAGACACAGTTTATTTCATGATTAGGACTTAAATGTTGGTCAGCCTGAAAGTCATTAATAGACCGTGTAATATTTTGTACGAAGTGACTACTCGGAAGAAGATTTTTCTCCACTTAGTCGGCAAAAGATAGCTCTGCGCATGCGCAGTGAACTATGGCTAGGGTTAGGGCTAGAATTAGGGTTAGGGATAGGATTAGGGTTGGTGTTAGGGTTCTGCGGTTGTAAACACATGTATGCGCAGTACCATTGAAAACATCACCGCGATGGCAAGTCGTAGTTTCTCTCCAATGCGCATGCGTATCTTTTTCCGGCTAGCATCGGCCTATTTTGTATTGTTTCCTAACACTTCCAAGTTTTTAAAATTAATGTTTTATCAGTTGCTTCTATTTTAAATTTGTAAGTTGACAGTTCTTTTTTTTACAATTAGGTGGATCAAATATTTTGGAACCAGTGGTCTTTAAGAGCTTGGCTAATTGCCTTGACAACAGCCAGCATTGCTGATATGATTAAGTTGCAGGGTGTTCAGAACAAGCTACACAGACATCGCAAGGAGTTTGGGAAAGATGCCAAAATATCAGACAAACTTCAGGTAAACTTCATGAAATAGTTACACTATTATAGTCTTTTCTTGTTTCTGTTTGGTCTTTATTGTGATTTCAGAAAGTGGGTCATTTAGTGGTTAAAAAAATGTATCAACTAGTTTATATTTAAGTTCAGATTGTAACCCTCAACCTTTTTTATTTCTAGCTTTATGGAATCAGTAAGTTGTGAAATTATTTTTCAGATTGAGATGCATTCTGTGCGCATGAATTTCTGGCGAGACTTCTGTGACCTATTTATCCCTCTGGGTGGATTAAGTTACGTCAGCCCTGGCTTTTCTGCACTGACTGGAGTTGTTTCATCTGTTATAGGCTTCAAGCAGGAATGGGAAAAACATATTCAACCTTTTAAACCTCAGAACTAAAAAAATATAATTCAAACAACGAAATTTAACTTACTTAAACGCTTTGTTATGTTGGCACCATGAAAGTTAATTTTATTTTTTATTTATATTAAAAAGTATTTTCTTCAAATACAAATAATGTTCCTTACTATATGCATAAAATGAAAAGTTTTAATTAATATTTAATGACGAACATTCAGCATGTGAGGGAATATGACGTGTTAATTGAGACATTATCACCCACTGGGTAATGTCACTTAATGCTGACTTCCTTCTTTTGTTGTATGTTAGTTTTATTTTATACTGCTGGCTGCTGTTACTGCTATTAGTGTTACTTAATATGGGATAATGATGCTGAAATGATGTTTTATCCAGTGTAAAATCATTTAGCTGAAGTCCCTGTGTTGATTTTCTGCTTCAATATTGTTTGCTGCTGATGTATGCTTTATTTCATTTTTGTAATGTTCAGTTGAAGAAACATTGTTGCCCTTTTAATCTCCAACAATTGTACAACATTAGTCTCTGGTCAAAGGTTGAAGCTAAACAAGAGTGATGTTCAGAGTAATTTTCACTTTTTATCATTTTAGAGTTGCATCAGTATATATGGTAAAATAAATAACAATGTGAGAAAATGATAAAACACTCCCTACCAATGTTGTGCTTTATATGTCACCAATCTGCTAAAGCTTTCATCCCGGTAAACTAGAATTGTATATTTTTTAGTTTATTTATTTTTTAATAGTAGTACATGTCTAATGGAGAGGCATTGTGACAACATTTCATGTACTTAATAATAATACAAGCAAAACTTACACTAAAATACTTACTACAAATCATGTGTTTTGAATCTGAAATATTTTTATATGATTTTTTTTTCTTGTTGATTATTATTTCTGAAATACAGCAAAATATGTTAGTTGACTAAATATGACGGGTAGAAATATCTTGAAGTCACCATTTTTGTTGTATGAATTATTTATTTCTTTGCTTACATTTTTCTTTGTATCAATGCAACAGTTTGAAGAATATTTTAGTATTGGTAACTAATTAGTTGTAATATCAGTTGAAAAGTTTGCCATTTCTTTACTTTATTACAATAATGAAAAATTTAAGCGCTAATATTTTAAAATATGTACTTTAAGCAGAGCAAAATCAAAATAAAACAATGAATGATATTTACCATTTGTATTGGTTTTCTGGAGCTAGTTTTGAAAAATAAAGTAAAATTCTTCAAAGCTTAAAAAAGAATCGTTTTCTTTTTTTAGTATTGGGCTGGTAAGTGAATACATGAAGGATAAATGTGTGATTCTTTTTATTTATCATGCTTAGAAATATGTATCAGATAAAATGTTATTACTGTTCCATCTAATCAGTATCAAAGAAATCAGCAAGAAATAACTTCTAAAATATCCTACCGTTTAAAATTTTTAAAAATTTAAAAGATAAATGTTTAAATTGAGAGCTGGCTAGTAAGTAGATAACATCATGTGTGAAACCATTAGGTAATTATAAGATATTCCATTCCATTGAAGATAATAAGCTGATCAAAATTTGTGTCAGTCAATTTAAAGCAAGGAGAAATGTTAATGGTCAATGTTGCTGCTTTTTCTTAGCCCTCATTGAACTATATATAGTATAGGTCTACTTAGACAGAATATTGTATGTTAAGGATTAGGGTCTATAGGCTGAATTAAAAACAACTGGATATTCATAAGTAGCTACATCTATAGAATCTGCCTTTTTTTGCCAGGAACCCGTTTAATATATGGCCGAGATATTTTTAAAAAATGACATGTCAACAAGGCTTTATAAAATAAATGTATTTACACATGTTAATTCTATAATTAGTAGCTCAATGAAATTGGGTTTTTTTTGTCCAATGGAAGTGCTCACGCAGATGTGGGAGCAGGTAGACTGAGCAGTTACATCGAGAGTTCTGGGTAGGCCTACGGGTGGTGATGGGGATTACAAGGGGGGAAAGCCGTTTTAAGGTACTCAGCATTATGAGAAAGAGGGAGGGGGGAAAAAGATTGTAGGAAAAAAGTCACAGGAAAAAAGTCACAAATGTATATTTGCATGACATTTGTTAATACTTTTATGTATTAAATATTAAGAGAGTGCAAATTAACTTAGGATTAATTTAATGTAATGTGTGTAGGTTGTATACGCATAGTAATTTTTATAATTCATCTAAAAATATTTAGTATGCAGTATGTAGATTGTAATTATGTTAAACATAAGATTAATAGCATTTAATAGTTTTCATCGTGTTTTTTTTAAAAATACTAACATTAAATTACCGTGAAATGGTAAGTTCATCTGACTTGCTGCCCTCAACTCATCACAACAATAGTTATGTTTAGTTCAACCACCTTTACCGCCCACATTTATCACGCTCATTCAGTGGCGTATCCAGGATTGTCTCAAGGGGGGGGTCCAATTTTTACCCGGGGACAAACTTTCGATTTGCACCCCCCCCCCCCTCCCTCAAACTTTCGATTTGCACCCCCACTCAAACTTTCGATTTGCACCCCCCCCTCATACTTATTCTATATACTGAGGGGTCAATGGAGGGGGTTATGACCCACCTAACCCCCCCCCCCCTGCCTACGCCAATGCGCTCATTACATAACAAAATGTAGGATCAAAACAGAAAGCCGACAAGGTTCAAAGGCTGTCATTGACGCAAAACGTCTACAAAACAAAATATGTTCGGACAATACCCATTATACTGAGGAGAGGCCGACCAGAGAATAGCCTACGGCAAAACATAAGCAAAACACGATGTGCCTAAATTTCTTTTATAATTAACTTTTCTACCGCGTATTTAACTAAATACGTAACAAAATTTGAGATTGTTGTGTAAATTATCTTAGAGTATTTTTACTTACAATTGTTATAAGCCTTAATGCTTTTAACGTCTATAAATAATTTATGCTATCAAAAAAAAAAAAAACAACCCACAATACAAATACAAAATGTTACAATTCTTAACAAATAAATCAAAATATTTCTAAAAAGATTTTTGTGACTTTTTTTCTGTGACTTTATTTCTGTGACTTTTTTTCCGATAAAATTTTTCCACTGTGACTTTATTTCTGCGACTTTTTTTCCTAGCAAAAACAGTGACTTTTATTGTTTTATTTTTCCTTTGACTTTTTTTTCCGTTCACCGGAAAAAACAAGGGGAGAGCACTCTAGATTTAATAACTATTAAACAAACATGGCGCTTTCCAATGGATGTTCTTGTCGATTAGCTCCATCTATTCTCAATGCAGATCTATCGAATTTGGCTGCTGAATGTCAACGGTTGATGGATGCTGGTTCTGACTATCTTCACTTGGATGTTATGGATGGACATTTTGTGCCTAACTTAACTTTCGGACATCCTGTTGTAAAATGTTTACGTCCCAAACTACCGGGAGTATTCTTCGAAATGCACATGATGGTTGCTGATCCTGAAAAGGTTTGAAACTTGTTTATTGTTTAACTAGATCTGAGTAGATCTAGAAAGATCTAGATATACCTAGATCTAGATCTAGAATCTAGTACTTGATCTCTAGATCAAGAAATATAATTAATAGATCTAAACTCTAGAGTAAAGTGTAGGCTTTTTGATGAGAATTACAGAATGATTTTTTTATTAAAAATGTATCAATAATAGCTTGCACACTAGTAAACTAAGCCAATTTAGCATATTTTAACTTTCTGTGCAAAGTTATTATTACTGAAAAAAATTCCAAAGTCAGGTCAGCCTGTGGCACCCTCCACTGAACTTGACAGAAGGAAAAAAAAACTTGACCCGTGACCTTCATTAAAACAGAATTTGCTTTTGTTTTTTTTTTCATTGTTAGTAAACATGTGCTTAATCTTACCCAATAAGTGATAAAAATATGAAAATTAATGTTAATTCCTGTTGTAAAGTGAGATAAACAGATTAATAAACACGTGTTTTCTTGAGGGGGTGTGGCACATCCCGACATCGCATTGTTTGTGACTTTATATTTGTGTTTTATGACTATATTTGTTCACAATCAGCATGCTATGCTTTTACTTTTGATAAAGGGTAAGTATACCAAGTTACAAAACCTGAAATCTAACTAATAATTCATACTTTCAGTTTAAAAAAATAATAAAAACGATCATCAATGAAGAAAGCGTAAACATTCTATTTTTAGGTGTGACATAAAAAACAGTCATAAATCTAGCCGAATGATTGGATTATTGCGCGTCACACATTTTCCCGCGCTTCGTGTTCACCAAAAAAGATTATAATAAAATGGCATTATTATTCTTACAGAGCATATCTCATGCCTACAATAAATTATTACCAGTTTATTGTAACGTGTGTAAAATTAATGCTTTCAAGTAAAAGATAGCAATAGTCTGGTTAAAAATAGCTGCGGTATTTTATAGTTATTTGATTTGGAAAGATAAGAATTATATAGAGCTACTTTCACTAAGGCGCCGCTTGCGAGACAAACAAAGGAATTAGGCCAAAAGTAGATCCGACAATTCTTAAATAACAGACTTAAATAGAAACGGATAGTTCAGATTTCTTAAATTAACGATGGCTTCGTAATCATTAGTTTTATCGCTTTACCCATTAGTGAAAGCGAAACTGGTCGCCATTTTTGGTAAGCGCATGAGCCGTGCGATGGCGTAAAAACAACAAACCCGGAAGCTGTGAAACGAACGGCCTAGTAAAGTGCCGCGCAATGTCAAAATCACACAAAACAAAGCAGCCCTTTTTAAAAAAAAATTATTTGAAAAAATGGCTGTCCATCTTTTTAGTAATTAGTTAGGGGTCATTTTTCGACCCATTTTGAAAAGTATAAAAATCCAAACTACTTAGGCCCTAAAGGGAAAAAATGGTATTTTCTGCCCTTTTTAGCTCCAAAAACATTTCACGAGGATGTCATTGTGACATTTGCCGCCGACCAAAATATTATGCATAGAAAGCGCGCAGTTGATTGCTTGGCGGCTGACTATGAAATCCTCTAGGGACGGCTCAAAATGTATTCCAACTAAGTAGATATTTGTAAACCATTTTTTTTAAATGCATATTCTTTCCCATGCTTTTCGCTTGGCAGTAAAGAATATTTTACCTGTAGTGTAATTGTTTTCCATTCATTTTTGGGGGCGTTTGTGTGATTTGTTTAATTTGTAAAGATTGTGTTTGAAAACGTTAACAAATTTAAGGCAATGTACAATTTAACTAGATTTAATTTAACTAAATTTAACTAGCCTATTTACTATTTACCTAGATAGGCTTAATAATGATTCCATGTTTAACTTTATATGGCTACATTTATCTGTAGTGGATAGAGAGTATGGCAGATGCTGGTGCAAACATGTATACATTCCACTATGAAGCAACTAAAGATCCAGTTGAATGTATAAGAAAAATTAGAGAGTCTGGCATGAAGGTAACAATGTTAAAATGTTTTTTCAATGCAGAAAACCTACTGGGTTTTTTATTTATAAGTGTGGTACAGGAGTAAAACTTACTTATAATATTTATCTAGATTTTCCTATATGACAAAAAAATCTTTATTATAATTCTGTGGGAATGCTAAAAGTCTTTTTTTTTATTTACTAAAATGCATTTTGTAAATCAATAAAAATAGTCACATGCATAGCAAGTTGGAGAGAATAGACAAGGGAAGAGAACTCTTGAAAGCTATAATTTTTTGTCTGTACCGTAGCCAGAGTGACTGGGATTGATGTTGATATATTGTTTTTATTTGGTCCTGCAGGCTGGTATGAGTGTTAATCCTCCTACAGATGTTGAAGTTCTTCTCCCTTACATAGATCTATTAGACTGTGTTCTGGTTATGACTGTCAACCCAGGATTTGGTGGTCAGAAATTTATGTCCGAGTGTTTGCCCAAGGTCAGTTTTATTCATTCCAGTACTATTAAAACTTCATAAAATAAAGTGTTAATCTGTTTTATATTTGAAGTATTTTGTGAAATTCTACTCTCATTTTATTTTAAATTCATTTTATTATGTAAGGGATATAAAAACACCTTTGATAGCAGCCTTCAATTGTAAATGTTATTTCTACAGATAGAATACCTAAGGAAAAGGTTCAAGCATTTGGATATTGGAGTGGATGGTGGTGTAGGACCAAAAACTATTCAAGAATGTGCTGATGTAAGTTGTATTCCACATCTTTTAGTCTCTAGATTACCAATACTCAGTTTGATTTTAAATCTGTACGATATAGTTTCACAATTTGGCCAAAAACTTCACCTGTTTATGTGAGAAGTTTTAGTGAAATGGTTTTACCCTTTTAATAAGAGAGTATTTGATGTTTGTGCATGATATACTGAGGACCTTCCATGTTCCAGGCTGGTGCAAATTTAATCGTGTCAGGAAGTGCCTTGGTCCAGCATGAGAACCCTGCAGTTTGTATAGCTGACATGAGGAACATCGTCAATACTGCACTGGAGTTGATACGCCAATAACTAATTAACTGTTCAATTTATTTTAAAACCTACTAATGCATTATATTTGTGAGAATCAATTTTACATTATTTTAACATGTGCAATTTTATAATTCATATTTGGTGATTTTTTTATATATAGATTGTCAATATCCAAAATGAAATGATTTTAGGGAATTAGTAAATTATTATTAACTGTCTAGATTAGAATACTTTGCCTGTAAGATTTATATGTAAAAGGTTTTTATAACTGGATCCAATTGGTTTTTTTTTTTGTTTTTTAAAAAGGAATAAAATGTTTATTATATAATGAATTGATTAAATGTGTTTGGATGGAAGGCGAATTTTCAAAGTATTTTTAATATTAAATGTTAACAGATTAACAAATGAGATTTTAACACAAGTGTGTCATCATCTGCTCAGTTAATGATACTAGATACTTACAAACAAAACATTCATCACATCTCAGAAGCCAGACATTCACCATTAACCAAAGATTTTAAAATATACTGGTTAAAAATGTATTTATAATTCAACAATAAAATGAATTATTTTGTTTTTTTATCACAAAATTAAGTAAACATTGCTAAAAAAATATGTTAACACAACAATACAATTCTTTACTTTGTATAGAAGCCAGTCTTAATTTTAAAAACTTGATCAAACAAAAAATCATCACAGAAAGAAATACTGACTGTACAATAAGTTGTACAATTAAAAACATTGGACGGAATGTCTGTGAAATTAAGTTATTGTAAAGAATGAGCTCTTAGCTCCTGTGGGAGATTTGTTAACAAGGCCCCCAGCACTGAAGCAGTTTGACCAGTTACAGAACAGTTCTGTATGTAATTCAGATAATTTAATTACTATAGTGATTATTTGTACATGAACCATGGGATGATTTTACAATAACATTTTGCTAATAACTTATTAGAAAACAGAACTAACATTTATTTAATATACTATATATAGTATAACATTCAATTTCAACAGTGTTTAAACCATTAAAAAAAAGTAAATATGATTAAGAAAAAGTTTTGAGCTATTTGTGTCAAGTCTTTAAACATGATTAAAAAATAAATGATGTATTTTAAACAAGCTTAAGTTTATCATTTGCATCTAGTCCAGTACTTAAAGGTGCAACATTGGAATAGGAAATCATTTCTGGTGTTGCAACTCTGTCTGAGTAAGTAGCCTCCCTTACATTGACCCTGAAACAATACCAGTTTTACTTTTAAATTCTTATTTGAGTACAATAATAAAATTATGCATGGCATAACATAATTTATATTATTTCTTGAAAAAAAAATGTTGCCAGAAATTGTATTTACCTTCTCTGAGCCCTGTACTTCTTTTTATAAACCACAGCAAAAACTATGGCAACAATCAAGGCAATAGTTAGGGGAATCCCCACAGCTAGTCCAACAATCAGTGGAATGTTTACTGTGGATTGTTAGCAACAAAATACATGCATTAGTCCAGGTGTTGTCTAACATCTAGGCAAATCTAGTAGGGGAAATAATGACTAGGACGCAAACATATTTGACACTGACTTTTAAACAATATACAATTGATCACATGCCTGACCAGTTGTGCACAATATTTACAATAAAATACTAGCTGCATCCCGTGCTCCGCCACGGTAAATCTTTTTTAAATGTACCAACTTGGGAACAGGACAAAACTAAACACAACACAAACGAACGCAAAAAAAAAAAAAATACAAACAAAAAAAACAAACACAACACTCATAACATAAACACAATTTAAATGCAATCATAAAGGCATATTGCTCACAGTCTAGCCCGTAGCGCCAAATCGCGCCCTTTCCGGTGATTTGCACCCCTTTCAAACTTTCGATTTGCACCCCTGTCCCCCCCCCCCCCCGCCCTAAAACGTTCGATTTCCACCACCCCCCCCCCCCTCAAATTTTTTCCAACCCACTTTGGCGCCCCCTAAGGTTGGCACCCGGGGACATATGCCCCCCCTCCCTCGCTACGCCTCTCCTATAAAACCCCTAGCTTGTCCGCAAACCGAAAGATAGAATAATAATTAGTAAACAGTATAAATAATAGGCAGTATTTAAAATATCCGTGTTTTACCTACAATATTTCACTTTATCCATTCACGCATTTTTTCCCAGTAATTTAAAATTTTAAAAATTTACAATAGAGTTTCATAACTAAAACCATTGCGTACCGAATGAACGTGATGACGCGTCTATAATAGTGCTTAATAGTTGATTAAAATTTATAAGTAGTAAACATTACATTCAGTGAATAAAATAAATAAAAAATAGCCTTTTATCAATCAATGCTAATTATAATATTCCAACAATAATGTACTTTTACACGTCTGCATAATTTGCATTCACATTTTGCTAATTATATTATTCCAACAATTATTCCGTCTTGCAGATTTTGTATTCACATTTTTAGCGTGAGTTCAATTTATTTTTAAAATACCTCCCTTGGCAAAATTACTAAACAGTTTAATTAGATTTTTCTAACCTACAGCTATTATGTTATTAAAATGTATCCACTTTCTCTAGGAATATTAACGAAAACGATATTTGACATTGATCCTTTTAATATGTTTTAGCAATGTGCATGTATTTAATATTCTCTTTACGTTATGCAAAATTGTACAAACAGTGGAAATTATAAAATAGCTCTATGTCGTTATATAAACAAACCCTACTCTATTACTTGTAATAAGACACTGCAGTGCACTGAAAAGCACAGCATGGTGCGTAATTTACTTTTATAGTCCCAAAATCTATAGCGATGACGGCCCGCTTATATTATAGATAAAAAAAAAACATAACATAACTACTTACATTCTTCCTCATTGCTCCTGGGAGATAAAACAGTATGAAAGTTATGATTTTAAATTTATCTATTTTTAGCAGTGAGACATGTAAACTATCTCATATCAATTAAAAAAGTTAATTAACTTCTGCAGTCAAAAGCAGATGAAGAAAGTGACCTACTTGCAATATGCCTCTCCATTTTGATTGAGCTGACATTTCTCATCTGATGTACAGGCTTCAATAGCAGCAAGAATCTGGCACCTGTTTACTGTAGGTGGAACTGGAGGATTGGATAGTTTAATCATCAGTTCCTGTTTCCAAGACACATGGGGCAGATAAAGTAGAGTTCATCTGCTTCAGAGACCTCAGTATATGAAGGGATAATGTGGTCAGCACTATGCCCAGCCACCTTTGTTTTCCTAATGTAAGTTAGGTACCCATAAGAGCTGGATGGACTCAGGGACATTCCACTGATTTGAACCCAGATTCAAACTTGAGAATTGCGGGTTAGCAGTCTAGTTCTCTACTGCTAGGCCATGCGTCCCATTGATAGTTAAATGCTTGGGTCCTTTCTTATGTTTTCTTCATTGTTGTGTTTTCTCCTCACAACTTAATAACTTAGGTACTCATTCTTAACAGCTTGTAACTAATATTTTTTGCAAAAATAGTGCAGTATTTTAAAACTGAATGGATGGATTACACCAAGAGATATTACAAGTGATTAAGTTAATTGTACCTGTAATATTTCCCACTGTGACTGTAGCATTTTGTAAAACTCCATCCACGACCAAACCTGTCTCAGCTATGTACAAGATGGCTTCTACCAGTTTACTTGCAGCCAGTGTATCCACAGAGGTGGCTATAATCACTGATAAATCTACAATCACACTGCCATGCCTTGAGGAGAATAAAATATTTTTATACAATCACACTGCCATGCCTAGTGGAGAAATAAATATTTTTAATGCCATTATTTTAATCTTTTTTTTCATTTTTTTATGATTCATACTAGTAACTTCTTCAATGACGTTTTTACATAGCTCAGCCTAAACTAAATGCTAGAAAACAAATTTTTAATTAAAAGCGTGGTTTAAAATTTTTTATAATGAGTATTGTTTATTTTTTAAACAAATTTCAATTTGTTTACTTTTAACCTCCTTCAAGAATGTATTTATAAAAGGGAGGCAACAAACCTCATATTGTTGATCTTGACTTGCTTCAGATAAGTCACCTTTTCAATCATCTTAGTCTTCAGCTGAAACAGTTTTTTTACTGTAGGTACATGCTATTTTTACTTGTATTTTGGTTATAACACAACGAATGAATTGGGGAATATTGAAAGATAGGTCAGTTGAAAATGTATATGTGACCTTGCATTATGTCTTGTTATTACCATGTACTATAACATATCTTTTTAATGCCATGATGGTAATGCTGACAATAATCTACTGAGCTTACAGATTTTTCTATCCCTCTAAAGTTTAGCATAATTTAAATAGCTTACAGATTTTTCTATCCCTCTAAAGTTGAGCATAATCTAAATAGCTTACAGATTGTCCAATCTTTCTCTGTAACTCCTGGTAATCACTTCCTAGTTTTTCTCTCAAGTTTTTCCCAGAGACATCCATAAATAATTTGACTTGAAATCCATAGCCAGCAGCGCCTGGTAAATTTGGGAGAGGTTTGATAAGAGGTTTATTGCATGATGATACAGCACAGGTTGGGGGAGGTTTGATAACAGGTTTATTACATGATGATACAGCACAGGTTGGGTGAGGTTTGATAACAGGTTTATTACATGATGATACAGCACAGGTTGTGTGAGGTTTGATAAGAGGTTTATTACATGATGATACAGCACAGGTTGTGTGAGGTTTGATAACAGGTTTATTACATGATGATACAGCACAGGTTGTGTGAGGTTTGATAAGAGATTTATTACATGATGATACAGCACAGGTTGTGTGAGGTTTGATAAGAGGTTTATTACATGATGATACAGCACAGGTTGTGTGAGGTTTGATAACAGGTTTATTACATGATGATACAGCACAGGTTGTGTGAGGTTTGATAAGAGGTTTATTACATGATGATACAGCACAGGTTGTGTGAGGTTTGATAAGAGGTTTATTACATGATGATACAGCACAGGTTGTGTGAGGTTTGATAAGAGATTTATTACATGATGATACAGCACAGGTTGTGTGAGGTTTGATAAGAGGTTTATTACATGATGATACAGCACAGGTTGTGTGAGGTTTGATAACAGGTTTATTACATGATGATACAGCACAGGTTGGGGGAGATTTGATAAAAGATTTATTACATGACGATACAAGTACAACAGCACATGTTGAGGGAGGTTTAATAAAAGGTTTATTATCTGAACAATAAAGGTGGTCAAAAGTACTCAAAACTTACTGTAACATGTTTTGATGTCAGTTTCATCCACTTCAAAACCTGGGTTACAAGAGCAGGTAAAGGCACCTGGTTCATTGTTACACAGCTGTTGACAGCCACTTGAGCCTTGAAGACACTCATCTATGTCTGAAAGTTGAAATGTGCCTGCTACATTCATGGTCCAAGGGAAACTAATCTAACAGTAATATAGGTTAGAACAAAGGGAGATAAACCTGTAATTTTCAATTTCTGTATATTCTGGAATATTAGGGGATTGAGTGTATCAGACAACTTCCACTGTTTCCAGTTAAAATTTACACCTTGGGATATACCAGCCATATAAGATAACCACCTTTGAAGATGATCCCTGATTTTTGAGATGATTTTGGCATTAAAAGTCATCTTAATATGTAGGAAAAGAAGGTAAATTTCTGCTCTTTAAACCACATCATATCTGGTCTGTCCACTTATCAAGTTACACAACCAGATGCCACAAAGCTAAACTATACACTAAATCCATAGTAAAAACCTTCCACTGAAACAAGGTGTAGAATTGAGTGGGTAGTTCAGGTTTACCTTGACACGAGTATCCATCAGCTGCCAGTTTGTATCCAGATCCACAGGCGCAGGTGTAGCTGCCTGCTGTGTTGGTGCAGTTGTTGTCACACTGGTTGGTCTCACTGGACGCACATTCATCCCGGTCTGGGGGAGAACAAAATGATGGGTGGGGGGGGGGTGGATTTTAACAAAATAAGTTGACAGCTAAATCACATGTGGGAGTTAGTTAAGAATAATAAATATGTTTAGAAATATACTTTATTTGGGAGTAATTTAAATAAAATAGGCTTAGAAATATATTTATTTGAAAGGCAATTTAACAAAATATGTATCAAATTATTTTTAATTTAGAAGACAATGTGAACAAAGGATATTTTCAACAATTTATTGACTATTTACATTTGGCATGACGCAATTAAAAATACTTTAAAAATGGATGACTGACCCACACACTGGCCACTTGTATCCACATAGCCAACATCACAGCCACACCTGTATGAGCCAGGTGAGTTGATGCACACCTGCAGCAACAAGTTTGGGTTAAGGTGAATTACCAGAAATTTATGGCAAAGAAAATTTAGGATTATTTTTTTATAAACAAAAAATAATATTTTACAAGCAGTATTTTTAACTAAAAAAACTGTTCTTTAGAAAGCCGAATAGCAAGTCAATATCCTTACCCAGTGAAGTCTAGCAGGGTCTTGGCAAACAGCAGTTGTGTTTTTACACTCATCAACATCTGTGTCACACTTTGCTCCAGTCCAGCCTGGGTTACACATACATGTGCCAGTGACACTGTCACACACACTCTGTGATGTGTCACAATCACACTGCTTCCTGCACTCTTCTCCATAAAAGTTTAAGGAACAGGCTGGTCGAATAAAAAGTATGATACCAGTAAAAATGTGAGTTATGTGCAATTTTGTGAATATTTTTTAATCTTATAGATTTCAAGTTTATGAAATATTTTTAGTTAATAGTTCACACATTAAATGTGCTTAGATTTAGAGTAAATAGGATTCCAGAAGGAATCCCTAGTTTCAGGAAGTTATTTTGTTACTATCTAACTTATAAAACTGGGAATATGTTGGTTTTCTTTTAATAATTTGAAATGCATTTTTAATAACAGCTTTAAAAAAGATTCAGTAATTAACTTTTCTCCAGAGACCTCTATAGACAGAAAGTTAGATAAACTGAAATCATTTTGTCAAATAAGATTAACTGGAGTGTGGAATAATTCAACATAAAAGTGCTGGATACCTTGGCACTGACTGTCACTTGTCTTGTGATATCCTGCCTGACACTGACACAGGTAACTGCCAGGTGTGTTGACACATTTGGCATGATCTGGACAGATGACACCTGCGCTACACTCATCAACATCTGTGTTACAAGTGGCCGATGTCCAGCCAGGTTTACAGGTACAGGTGCCATTAACCTTAGAATCATGTGACATTTGCTAGTCATTGCAATGGAATGTGACATTTGTTAGTCATTGGAATGGAATCATGTGACATTTGTTAGTCATTGGGATGGAATCATGTGACATTTGTTAGTCATTGGGATGGAATCATGTGACATTTGTTAGTCATTGCGATGGAATTATGTGACATTTGTTAGTCATTGGGATGGAATCATGTGACATTTGTTAGTCATTGCAATGGAATCATGTGACATTTGGTAGTCATTGGGCCACTGCATCATTGCAACATAAGCTATATTTGCTGATCACACATATTTTTTAAACAAATAATAATAGTAGTTCATTACTATAAAATAAAAATTGTGATTTTAACAATAAGAAAATATATGCATTTTTATTAGCTTCCAGCATTATTAATAATTCTTAGTTCTTAGCTAATCTTTTTATCTTTGTATACCACTAATATCTATAAAAATGGAGTAGATACCAAAGTTAAAATAAATGTGTGTGATTGTCTACCTTGTCACATGAGATAGATGTTGTTGGACTACACAAACATTTGCTGCTACAGTTTACACCATACAAGTTGTCTGGGCAAGCTGGAATTAATATTTTTATAACAGTCAATCCTAACCAAAAGACACTCGTAAACATAGTTCAGGGAAGAACATTCTCTAGCTAGGACTTCCTCAATTAGAATATTTAAGCCACAAAACTATCCACAAATAGATGTTGCTATAATAGTATTCAGAAAAGTTTGATAAAGAAGTAATTTTTTTTTCATTTTTATACTTTTACAAAATTTATAGAACATATTGTTAAAATTCTTGGCTAAATTCTAGAAAAAAGGAAATGTCTTTACCAAGACAAGTGATTTCATCAGCAGCCAGTTGTAGACCAACAGGACACGTGCACCTAAAACTGGAGCCATCAGCTGTCTCTTCACAGGAGTGTGAACAAGGAGAGCTCTTACACAGATCCACATCTAAAGGTACATTTAAGTAAACTTTACTTTATAAGAGCAGAGCATATTTAAAAGGAAAACATCCAAGAAAGCTAGGATTTTTTGAAAAATCCACAGTCTTTTCAAGCTAACTCTGAAACTGGTGTCTTATAATAAAGTTTCAAGTTTTGCATGAGCTTTTTTTTTAGTTTATTGAGACAACTCACCATCACAAAGTAGATTATTATCAGGGTTGACTTCCCTTCCCTTCTGGCAAAAACAAGTTTGTTGTCCATTAACCACAGCACATTTGTAGGAACAGTTCAGTGTGGAGCACTCACTGGCCACTGAAACACAGGTCAAGCTTGGTCATTTCAACATGACAAATCTCAATTTAAACTACCCTTTATACACAATAAATATCCTACCTGCCCTTTAAAAGGTATAACAACCTCATTAATATACCTATACAAGATGCCCCATCCACCCACCTGTCATCAACCTATACAAGATGCCCCAACCACAAAAAAGCTTCAAGCCATCCATCCATCCCCCAACCATGTCCCCAACCTATACATTATGCCACTACCAACCATGTCCCCAACCTATACATTATGCCACTACCAACCATGTCCCCAACCTATACATTATGCCCCTACCAACCATGTCCCCAACCTATACATTATGCCACTACCAACCATGTCCCCAACCTATACATTATGCCACTACCAACCATGTCCCCAACCTATACATTATGCCACTACCAACCATATCCCCAACCTATACATTATGCCCCTACCAACCATGTCCCCAACCTATACATTATGCCACTACCAACCATGTCCCCAACCTATACATTATGCCACTACCAACCATGTCCCTAACCTATACATTATGCCCCTACCAACCATGTCCCCAACCTATACATTATGCCACTACCAACCATATCCCCAACCTATACATTATGCCACTACCAACCATGTCCCCAACCTATACATTATGCCCCTACCAACCATATCCCCAACCTATACATTATGCCACTACCAACCATGTCCCCAACCTATACATTATGCCCCTACCAACCATATCCCCAACCTATACATTATGCCACTACCAACCATGTCCCCAACCTATACATTATGCCCCTACCAACCATATCCCCAACCTATACATTATGCCACTACCAACCATGTCCCCAACCTATACATTATGCCACTACCAACCATGTCCCCAACCTATACATTATGCCACTACCAACCATGTCCCCAACCTATACATTATGCCACTACCAACCATATCCCCAACCTATACATTATGCCACTACCAACCATGTCCCCAACCTATACATTATGCCACTACCAACCATATCCCCAACCTATACATTATGCCCCTACCAACCATGTCCCCAACCTATACATTATGCCACTACCAACCATGTCCCCAACCTATACATTATGCCCCTACCAACCATGTCCCCAACCTATACATTATGCCACTACCAACCATGTTACTAACCTATACAAGATGCCCCATCCATCCATCCACCAAACCATGTCCCCAACCTATACATTATGCCACTACCAACCATGTCCCCAACCTATACATTATGCCCCTACCAACCATGTCCCCAACCTATACATTATGCCACTACCAACCATGTCCCCTATACATTATGCCACTACCAACCATGTCCCCAACCTATACATTATGCCCCTACCAACCATGTCCCCAACCTATACATTATGCCACTACCAACCATGTTACTAACCTATACAAGATGCCCCATCCATCCATCCACCAAACCATGTCCCCAACCTATACATTATGCCTACCAACAACGCTACCAACCTAAACAAGATGCCCCATCCACATCAAGCTTCAAGCCATCCAGACAAGCACAGTGGTAGCCACCATTTGTGTTCTCACACTTCTGCTCACATTTAGCAGTCTTTAGTTGACATTCATCAATGTCTACATGGGAAATAAAAACATACAATTTAAAAAGCTTTTTTTTTTTAAATATTAGTTTAAATGCCACTACAAAATAACACAGTTTTAAAGCATTTTATAAACTTTTTAAAAAATCTGTGTAAAGAAAAAAAAGTCTCAAAACTATATAAAAAAAGACAATTTTGAAAAAAAAATGTGTTCCTAATTCAGTACTTCCCTTGAAGCCAAACTTAACATTTAATTAAAGTTGTTCTTAACACAGTACTATGGTTACTTCCCTTGTAGCCAAACTTAACATTTAATTAAAGTTGTTACTAATACAATACTGTGGTTACTTCCCTTGAAGCCAAACTTACCATGACAAGTTTTAGCTGTAGTGTTGTACCTGTAGCCAGTGTGACAGGAGCAAGTGAAGCCACCATTTTTGTTCTCACACACTTGTTCACAGTCATTGCTGAAACGGCTAGCACACTCATTGATGTCTGCAAGTACAGCAAACCAAGTGGTGGTTTCACTTATAATGTTTGTGTCTACTTACATCTGATGTTGATATTTCATTTAATTAAGTCATATTCTTGATCTTATTATTTAACTTAAAATGGTGTATCATTGTTAATGTTGATATTTCCGTAAAATGTTGTTGTCATATATCTGATACTGATATTAATAATTCTCACAATTTTGATAGGCAAAAAACCTGCGGAAAAAGGACATATTTAAAATGAAAAAAGCTAAGGCTAGATACATTGCATTAGAAAAAGTTGAACTGACCAGTACATGTTCCAGATATTTTTGAGTACCCATCCAGGCAATCACAGAAAGCACTGCCCCTGGTGTTGACACAAATTTCATCAGATGAGCAGATGAGAAGACCTGTACCACACTCATCCAGATCTTCATCACAGTGTACACCTGGGTACAAGTTTCATTTCCATTAGCTGGGTGTCACAGTACTTCATTCAAAATATTAGCCATAAATTAATAACAAAAAATATAGGAACAACTAGAATAAGTTGACAAGGTATTTCATTCTATATAATAGTTTCGCTGTCTGTGTATCTATCTATCTATCTATCTATGTATCTATCTGACAAGAACGCTCTAGAGAAAACATAAGCAAAAAAAAAACTTTCACAGTGAAACGAAAACGAAATATGACGTCCTATTTAGCATAGAGTAAAAAATAATCTCAAGCCGGAGAGTGCACACTGTAATATGAGTAAACATTGAATAAAAAGGCAATTTTGTCTAATCTAAATGGTTTGCGTGAAGAGTTTCTTTCATACAATTCTTCGGGTAGGGGCGAAGCCCCACCCCCGTGTAAGAACGTCTGAGCCTCCCCCCCCCCCCCCCCCCCACTCCCCCCAACTCAAAAGAAATTTCTTCATCGATACTCTATAATAAAATTACCGCCTAATTAATGTGCCTACTCTAAAAAGTGGTTTTCTTGCAATTTCTTTAATGCAATTCTTCGGGTAGTGGCTAAGCGCGACACCAGTGTTTCTTTCAGACTTTTTGCTCCTCGGAGGGGGGAACTTTTTCTAATCCAAAAAGTGTTTAGCGTGCAGTTTTTTTTTTCAAGCATCTCTTCCGGTAGGGGCGAAGCCCCGCCCAGATTCTTCCTTCAGTTTTGTATGATCTACAAATGCAACCAGTGTTTCTTTCAGACTTTTTCCTCCCCGGAGAGGGGTGGGGGTACTTGAAATTTTTGGGGGCGGGGGTAGAATTTTCTGGGAGGGGTCGGACACTGGAAAAAGTATATAATTATATTTTGTTGAATGGGACGGTAGACATGTTTTGGAGTGTGTGTGGGGGGGGGGGGGGGGGGGGCCTCCCAAGTAGAGTAAAAATAAGGAACAATTAGAAAAAGATAAGGTATTTCATGTTTTCAGTAAATGAATACAGATCTGAAACAATAAGGGCACTAACCAGAGAATCCAGGTTTACAAATGCAGCCCTTCTGTGGGTCACATCTGTCAGCGCCAGCACTACAAGAACAGTCAGTGACACAGTTTGTTCCCCATTTGCCTGGGCCACATCCTGGGGGATAAGTCCAGCTTTAGACAAACTATTTTGTTTTTTAAACAACATACGGTAAAAAGTTTAGCTTTAGCCATAAAGCAATTTTTTTGTAAACTTGGGAGAATAAATTCTGCTATAGTCATAAACTAGAGTCATAAACTTAATCTAAAACAACATTTGGTAAAAAACTTCATATTAAGCCGTAATTAATTTTTTAAAAGTCATAATTTTCTCAAACCTTGTGATGACTGACCACTTACCCACACATGATCGTCCATCATTATCTAACATAAAGCCAGACGGGCAAGAACAAGAGTAGCCACCAGCTGTATTACTGCATCTCTCCTTGTGTGCACACAGATTCAAATGGTCAAATTCACATTCATTCAGGTCTAAAAAAAAAAAAAGTTTCAAATATTTAAAAAATCATAGCTTAAAGAGAATCACAGATTAAAACAAGATAACATTTACAATTAAAGAATTTTAAATAATTAAAACTAAAGGAAACATAATATTTTTTCCTCCAGATTAACTTGTTAAATTTAACATTATAGTCAGAACCAATGTGAAGTATTGGACATGCTTTTTCTAAAACTGTAAAAAACACAGAAGTTATTGAAATTGTTATCAAATATATTACAATCAGAAGTTTATTGTTACTTATTAGCCTTAAATTTTTAACTTTGTGGTAAACAATGTTAGAATTTTTACCTATAGTAAAAAAATTGTTGGCCACAAGTTTTACCTGTGGTAAAAGATTTGCTAGCCACAAGTTTTACCTGTAGTAAAAGATATTTTACCTGTACAGTTTTCTGTCCCCTGCAGGAAGAAGCCAGTGTTACACAAACAGTGAGGTGTGTTTGTAGACAGGTCGACTGTACAAATCTGTTGGCACTTCAGACTAGTCACATCAGCGCACACATCATCTGATGCTACAGCACAAAGTTTCAACATTAACAAGTATTGATCAACGCACATAACAATTGTTTCAATATCAACATTGCAAAGTATTTATAAACACAGATCACAAAGTTTAAATATCAACATTACAAAGTATTTATCAACACACATTACCTAAAGCATCATTACAAAATTTCACAAATGTTTTTTAGTCTAGCTTAAAAATTCTTATATACTCAACTAAATTATTGTAGCTATTATGTTGACTAAAGCAATGCATAAATAAGATAATTGTATACTGAATTTATAATTTGATGATTGTAAATTTGACAAACCTTTAACGCAGTTGGCTCTGTCTATGTCAAGTCTGTATCCATAGAAACACTTGCAGTTGTATTTTCCTTGTGTATTTTCACAAATCTGTTCACAGTTGTGAGCTTTAGTGACACACTCATCAATATCTGGATGGAGGAAATTTTACAATGGCAGGCTATTGAAATTTATGCATGGGAATAATTGGTGACATACAAGTACTACAGAAATTGCTGCAAGTATAAATATTTAAAATGTTTTTTTTAACTAGTATTTATTATCAAAGTAGGTAAAAATGTACTGTTTTTTTTAAACGAGATTTAAAATGAGTATAGTCAAGTGTACATAAGTTTCAAAGCTATTCTACTTAAAATATTAAAACTGCTTGAGTTGACTCACCGACACAAATATTTTTGGCATTTCTAGCATAGCCTTTCTGGCATGTGCATGTATAGCTGCCATTGTTGTTGACACAGTCCTCTACTGCCAAGTCACAGTTGTTGTCTAGAACATTCTGGCATTCATCAAGGTCTGTTAGATGGCATACATTAACATTGCACACTTTCACACAATTAACTAACAGAATTATCTCTAAATTATCTAAATACAATTCTAGTCATATTTTACTTCAAGCATTTTTTATTGGTGATATTTGATAGTAACACTACTATGGGCTCTAAAAAGAGGCTCCTAGTTATTAACAGTGAACAACAGCATTAACTAAAATTACTTTTGCTAAAATGGATTATGTAATATGATACCAGTATTAACACTATCCCTAAGTACTGTCCTAGCTGTATCCCTAACCCAGTCTAGCTCTCTACACATTTCTAATTACATAATCTACAGCCAAATTCACTGATTTTTTGACAATTCCATTGTAAGACATTGTTAATGTAAATAATACAGTATATATAATACAGTGTAATATAATACAGTATAATATAATACAGTATCATCCCAAACTTTATTTTCTCAGATTTTATAACAAGTTCCATTAAAATCCAAACCTTTACACAATCTGCCATCCCTGAAATATCCTGGTGGACAATCACAGTGGAAAGAGCCAAGTGTGTTGACACAGATCTGGCCAATGGGACACACAGAAGTGTTGGAACACTCGTTGACATCTAGGTTACAGTTAAACCCTGTCCACCCTGTAGAGCAGTCACAGCCTCGGATAGGGTCACATGATCCATGACCATTGCAAACACAGAGTTGGGTACAGTTGGTTCCATAGTAAGGCTGGACACAGGCTGTAAATAATGTTTTATATGGAGTAAGTCAAACACAGAATTGGGTGTAGTTGGTTCCATAGTAAGGCTGGACACAGGCTGTAAATAATGTTTTATATGGAGTAAGTCAAACACAGAGTTGGCTGCAGTTGGTTCCATAGTAAGGCTGGACACAGGCTGTAAATAATGTTTTATATGGAGTAAGTCAAACACAGAATTTGGTGCAGTTGGTTCCATAGTAAGGCTGGACACAGGCTGTAAATAATGTTTTATATGGAGTAAGTCAAACACAGTTGGGTACAGTTGGTTCCATAGTAAGGCTGGACACAAGCTGCAGTAAAAATAATGTTTTATATGGAGTAAGTCAAACACAGAATTGGGTGCAGTTGGTTCAATTCTATTTTAAATATAAACTGTACATAAAACATTATCATATGCTACAATCCTTGTACGTATATAGATAGATTTTAATCAGTACATACATTAACTTTCTAGAATTTATGTCACAGTAAGTACATACTTTGCACTTTTGATTAACTGAAAACTTAAACTGACTGAATTACTTTGCTTGATTGTTGATGAGCTTTTGTTTAGTCAATTAAAACAAGTAAGCAGGATGATGAATTTATGAAAAGAGATGTTAGTGTCATGTTGCCACTGTAGTTGTGTAGTGCAGTATCACAACAATCAGTTACGTGTGCATGTGGTTCCATCATTTTCCAGCTTGTAGCCAGGGTAACAAGAACACTTGTAGCCACCATCTGTGTTGTCACATGACTGACTGCATGGTTTGTTGCCAGTTGTACATTCATTCAAGTCTGAAATTTAAAAAATAAAATTCCAAAACATTTTACAGAACAAATAATATTAGCTAAATAATAATTTCTTTTTAACACATATTATTAAGGTTTAGTAGTCTTTCTTGTATATTAATAAAAATCTATCAGTTTGCAATGAATGAATTTAAAAGTTGTATTTTAAAAAAATGAGATAAAACATGTAAATACCAAAGTAGCATTTAAAACAATCTTACCAACACAATCCTTGTCTGTAAGAAGAGTGTAGCCCTTATAGCAGCTACAGCTAGCAACCCCATCTGTTACAGTACATACTTGTGAGCAGCTTTTTGATTTACACAGTTCTGTACTGCTAGGATCTACAACACAAAGATCAATCTTCTCTTAGCCATTTAGGTAAAATTAGAAGGGTTACCTTCTAAATAAATAAATAGTATAGTTTATACTGTAGGTCTATAAATGTTATCCTAATATATAAAAGCCCATGTGCGCACTTCTCTCTCTCTCTCTGTCCGCAAATTATTTTCGCAGGATATCACGTCAGAATCTTGAGCGATATTAGGAGAATTTGATACAGACTTTTGTTGAAAATAATATGGTAGATGTTTTAAATGAATAAACAAAATTATATTTAAAGAAGAAAAATAAAAAATAAAGGCATATTCGAATGTAGAAAAACAGTTTTAATTATGCAACCGGAAAAGTGTTTATAGTTGGGACAAGAATGCCAAAATCGATGATGTCACATGTCATATGTTTGAAGTACGGAAAGTACACAAAACCAATGGCATCATCTTCCAATTTTAGAATACGAAGAAATGAACTATTTCATTAAAATTTGATTTAGATCTAGATTTATAGATTTACTAATCGAGACGTAATTTATGAAATTTAAACAATTTCCTCTGCCAAAACTAATACAAATTACTTTAAAAAACAACATAAATACCATTGAAAAGCTGGGTTTTTAACGGAATCATTTAAGTCTTTTAATCGAGGTGTGTATTTAATATGGTGTTGTGTTGACTAATTATGTAATTTTATTTTTTCTAATAGGTATTAGTAGCCTATGTTATTTTAAATGTGTCAGACTTTTAGCTATTTATTTATCTCTTTGCTTTGTCACTAATATCGTTAAACCTGTAGTAAAGCACATTGCGTTTTGATCGATAACTATTTTATAAAATATTCTTCTAAAAAATGTATACCATTAAAAATATATAGACCGATAATTCATGTGTAATGGGTACCAACGGCTAGTTTAAACTAAGAGACAACAAACAGTACCCTGAGTGCAAGTTCTTTTGTCTTGGTTTAATGTGTTGCCCTTATAGCAGGTACAGTTAAAATTGCCATCTGTATTTTCACATAACTGCTGACATGTGTGGGTCCTCTCTGAACACTCATCAATATCTGGGCATAAAGTAATATGGACATACATCAAGACATACATGTAGACATACATCAATATTTGGACATAAAATAATGTGACCACTCATTAAAATCTTGACACAAATAATGTGAACATATATCAACATTTTGACAGAAAACAGAAAAAAAAAATGTTCTGAAATATTTAAAATAAAGAATGCACTTAATATATTGGGAATTGTGAATAACACAAAAAAATTACAAACTGAATGTACAATACAAACAAAAAGAACCCACCTTTACATAGTGAGCTGTTGGCTGTATCTGGCCTATATCCTGGCTTACACTCACATCTGTAGGAGCCAACTGTGTTCTCACACTCTGAATTTTCTGGACAGACTCCACTGGTCCCATTGACAATACATTCATTTTTATCTAAAACACAACATAACCGTAAGATTGTGTCATATTGACATTTTTATCTAAAACACAACATAACCATAAGATTATGTCATATTGACATTTTTATCTAAAACACAACATAACCATAAGATTATTTCATATTGACATTTTTATCTAAAGCAAAACATAACCATAAAATTATTTCATATTGACATTTTTATCTAAAACACAACATAACCATGAGATTATGTCATATTGACATTTTTATCTAAAAAACAACATAACCATAAGATTATGTCATATTGACATTTTTATCTGAAGCAAAACATAACCTTAAGATTATGTCATATTGACATTTTTATCTAAAACACAACATAACCGTAAGATTATGTCATATTGACATTTTTATCTAAAACACAACATAACCATAAAATTATGTCATACTGTCATTTTTATCTAAAACGCAACATAACCATAAGATTATGTCATTTATCTATAACATTCCATAAACATAAGAGTATGTCTTATTGACAATACATTAATTTTTATCTTAGAGTTAAACCTGCCATAAGTAACATTGACAGTTGATTCATTTTTTCTTAAGCTATCTATCTTTAATAAACATTAAAGTGAACTTATCAGACTGTACAATATGTGCAGTTAGGAGGTAGATAGCAACCCATAGAGTTAGGAGGTAGATACTAACACATACATTTAGAACACAGATACCCAAGCATACAGTTAGAAGGCAGATACTAACACACACATTTAGCACACAGATACCCACCCATACAGTTAGGAGGTAGATACTAACACACACATTTAGAACACAGACACCCACCCATACAGTTAGAAGGCAGATACTAACACACACATTTAGCACACAGATACCCACCCATACAGTTAGGAGGTAGATACTAACACACACATTTAGAACACAGATACCCACCCATACAGTTAGGAGGCAGATACTAACACACACATTTAGAACACAGACACCCACCCATACAGTTAGAAGGCAGATACTAACACACACATTTAGCACACAGATACCCACCCATACAGTTAGGAGGTAGATACTAACACACACATTTAGAACACAGATACCCACTCACAAAGTTAGGAGGCAGATACTAACACACACATTTAGAACACAGATACCCACCCATACAGTTAGGCTGCAGATACCCACCCATACAGTTAGGAGTCAGATACCCACCTACACAAGTACTGTCACGTTCCTCAAACCCATCAGGACAAGGACCGCAGGAATATCCAACAGGGCTGTTTCCTTGCTCTGCTGCTGTCCTGTCTGTGCACTTTTGATCCCCCAGACAGGGCTGATCCTTACAAGCATCAAACTCCACCTCACAGTCTTCACCTTTTATTTCGGGAAATTTTAAGTCAAGTGCAAACAGTTATATAGAGGAAAATCACTTGTAAAAAATATATATTACACAAGTTCAATGCAAATAGATTATGAATAAGTATTATTTAAGAGCATCATTGCAATAATTAAACAGAATTTTTTTTTTAAAATGATAGCTTTCAAATGCCTTACAAATGTTTTTCTTGTATCTTAAATTAATGGCATGTACAAAATTTGACAGATTGATCTGTAGAATGCTATATATAGCACCCATACAGGTTATTTACTGAAGTATTAAGATTGGACCCTGGGCTTGAGTCCATAGGACATCCCTGAGTCCATCCAGCTCTGATGGTAAACAAAGGGCATAGTGTTGACCATACAATCCCTTCATACACCAAGCTCACTAAAACAGGTGAACTCTACTTCACCTGCCTCGTGGACTGCAAGGTTTGAATGGGTACTTGACCCTATCAGTAGAATTTTCTGTAAAATAGACGACACCATCAAAGTTGAACCCACCGGTGTATGCGGGCCAGCAGTTGCAAACATTCAGGAGAAATCTTCCCCCATTTTTCTCCCCCTCCCTTGTCTTGTTCCTGTCACATTCTCCCACTCCACCACACGCAGGACAGACAACCACATCCAGGTACACAATAAAGGATTGTCCCCCTTTGGAGTCCACTGCTTGTACACTGCAAGAAAAAAACATTATTTAACTTTTCTTTGATATTATTGAGAAAATAAAAAAAATGGAAGTAAAAAATAACCTTAATTCTAATAGTGAATCTAAACAAAGTTAAATATACTGCTTAATGGTGATTTAGAAGAATACGAAAGAAGGTGATTTAGAGAGCTTTTAGTTTTTTTATTAAATTAGTTAATGGGGTATCAAAAACTATCAGTACCAGCTGTTAGCAGTTTAAAATCAATGCTTATAATGTAAAGAAGAAACTACCCAATGGTGACAGGGGTGTGAGAATCTGGGGTGTATGTCAGAACACCAGTGGCTCCATCTATGGTGAGATCACTGCTTGTGTTGGCGACTAGCCTGTAGGTCACAGTGTCAGTTACATCAGTGTCATTAGCCTGGAACCTGAAGGTTGATTTGACACCATGAGTTACCTCCCATTGATTGTGTCTATTTAGCTGGTTGGGTAGAATCTTTAGGGATGGAAGGCTGTTATCTAGAGTGGGAAGTTAAAGGATAATGATATTCTTTAATCTGTAGGCCTATACATCTCTAAAACAAAATTATCAATTATGAAGCCGATTGTAACATAATCTTATGTTATGATATTCTTTATTCCATAAGCCTATTAATCTCTAAAACAAAATTATCAATTATGAAACAGATTGTGACACAATCGTATGTTTGAATGCAGACTCAATTTGATGAAAAGAACAAAAAAGTCCTACAAGTTTATTAATTAATGCAAGTAGAAACTAAACAATTTTATAAAAAAAATTTGTTTCACAGATCAATTTTATTAAATCACATGTTTTAATAGAAGATGTATAAGTTACCTCTGTACAATTAAATGTAATTAATTAGCAATAAATTAGCAGTGATTTATGAGATGTAATTACCTTGGTTAGACTTCAGGCTAAAGGCGTCAACACTTGTAGACTTGGTGGTCAATGCAAACTTTTCATCCTTTGTTATTATGTAATCAAATATACAGGCATCATTGTCACCACATTTAGATTTTGCCTCTGCAAGAAGCACTGGGTTGACTTCTTCTCGGAAAGTTGGTTCAAATTCAGGATGTTGATAGTCAAGGCAGCTCTTCCCATCAGGGTAGTTAAATATGGTATTGCTGGAGGTTACCTCCCCTACAATGATAGAATATTCTTACAAATCTGGTTTGTAGAGCAATAATTTATTAAATTTAAATGTCAAACATGTTCAGTTGTATGTTACGGTTGTGTTAATAGTTTAGTAGGGTAGAGGTTATTTGTAATGTTATAGTAGCTTCCCCTTTGTTTATATTTATTACTGAGAATGATTTGTACACAAATAGGTCAGTAACATGAAAACCAGTGGCAAGTGACATATTTGGGCTATAAAAAGTTGTGTTAGATTATTTGCAGGGTCCATTCCAATATAGCTAGACTGGTGGACATTCACCTTGATCACCACACCTGTATCTCACACTGTAACAGTGAACTTTATTTGTTTATTATTGACCAGTAATTAAGGCACTCCTGATGTTTAACGTTGTACTTACATTCTCTGCCAAAATTTTCAAAGATTTTTCTCTCTGTGTTTGTGTCATTAGCAGTCAGCACAGTGCCATCAGGAAGAATGAAGTCGTCACTTTTGTTCCCATTGAAATTCCCCATCAGGCCTTTAAATTTTCCTTTCAAGTCAGTTGACACATCAATAGAAAATTCTAGAATTTTCATGCCAACATGGACTTTCAATGAGATACCTGACACAAAGGATATTTTGAAATTAGGGCATGAATCAGGGTTTTAATTAAATAAAGGTAACAAAACTATTTTAGGGCAACGGTGTGGTCTAGCAGTAGAGAGCTGGACTGCTAACCTGTAAGTCTCAAGTTTGAATCCGGACTCAAGTCAGCAGACCATCTCTGAGTCCACCCAACTCTGATGGGTACCTAATTCACATTAGGAAAAGTAAAGGCAGCTGGGCATAGTGCTGACCACACTATCTCTTCATATACAGAGGTCACAGAAACAAGTGAACTCTGCTTCACTAGCCCTATAGACCGTCAGGTTTAAAAGGGAACCTTACATTACTTTATAAAATTATCTTAGAAAAAAAATATTCAAACAACTATTTACTGACTGACCAGAAGGAAATGTTGCCACCATTTGTGTTCTGTTCTCCTTATCCTCCCTTGTGATGGTGATGTTGTTATCAAAAGTTTCCTGGTAGTCGCTGACTTTGTAGAACTCAACTGTCACATCATGACCATTTGCTACAATTACCATGCCTGAGCAGAAAGAAAAATCAAAGAATTAATTCAGATTAATTAATTTCATCATCATTCCTGTGGAACATAGGGATATAACCACACCACTATACTGTTCTCCACCAAAGTACGGCTGAAGGTTCTTAATTAAAGACTGATTTGTTTTTCTGTTTTTTTCTGACCCACCCACTTTCCTCTTTCAATATGATGCCAGTCTGTTGTTTGTTTTTTCACACAAACTTTTTCCAAACCATCCTGATTTGTATTTTTGTATTTCTTTGCCAGTAAGGTTGTGCCCATTTTCCCCCATTGTTGGTAATTTTCTCTGATCACTTGATGATCATTTTTATAGTGCAAGCATACATTTGTAAACAGTCTAAAGTTTGTTGTTTTTAGTTTGTGTTATTCTCCATGTCTCAGTATAAAACAATTTTGTTTGGGTCAATTCGGTCTAGATTTTCTTTGTATATTTGAATTGTGACTTATCTATCTTTAATTTAGTATTTATATTCATTCTACCATTAAACATGCTCTTATTTTGTTTATCTAATCTATCATGAATCATCCACACCCACCCACCTGTTCCAACAAGATCAAGTTCTACTTGTAGCTTAGAGTTGTCTCCCTCCACAGCAGCAAAGGCAACAAACCCAGTTGCGTTTGTCTTCTTCCCTTCAGCATTGCTGATCTGCTCTGTGCGACATTGGAACATGAAAGGTATGTCTTCAGCCCAGAGTAGCACATATTCACCCAGACCATTGAACGTGTATTCATTGCCATCTAAGCTCAGGATGTGTGGGTCACCTAGTGCAATACCTGAATCAAAACAGAAGTTTTAAACTGTCAAATTCAATATTTGTTTAAAGGTATCTTGCAAATATTATTAGTAACACAAAGCTAAGACAAAGCTTAAACAACAAGGTAAATTTATTTATACAATTGTTGTGTTCAATATGTAAAATCTGCTATGATAAGCCATAAATCACTAAATGTGTTTACAATTCCTTGTTGATTAAGGTTGACAAACATCTACGACAGCATTAGTTACACAAAGAAATGCATAGGAAAAGTTAGGAGCATCTGGGCAAGATACACAACTAGCTGATTGCAAGGGGAATAACACATATTGAATCACATATTCAAGAAAATGACATTGGTTAGTGTTAAATTGTAGTGAAGTGCATAGTGAAAATGTTAACAAAACTTATGAACTTGAATCATCAGAGATTACTTCAGCTCACCTGAGATGACCTCAGCTCACCTGAGATGACCTCAGCTCACCTGAGGTGACCTCAGCTCACCTGAGATTACCTCAGCTCACCTGAGATGACCTCAGCTCACCTGAGATGACCTCAGCTCACCTGAGGTGACCTCAGCTCACCTGAGATTACCTCAGCTCACCTATGACCTAGGCTTACCTGAGATGACCTCAGCTCACCTGAGATGACCTCAGCTCACCTGAGGTGACCTCAGCTTACCTGTGATGACCTCAGCTCACCTGAGATGACTTAAGCTCACCTGAGATGACCTCAGCTCACCTGAGATTACCTCAGCTCACCTGAGATGACCTCAGCTCACCTGAGATGACTTCAGCTCACCTGAGATGAACTCCGCCTCTAATGAGCAGCCATTTTCTGGCCGCACTTGGTTGAACAACGAGCAGTACTGGGAGGGGGAGGAACTCTCCTCACAACACCATCTGTGTGGGTTCAAATCTTCTTCTTTTGATTTCCTAGCATCACCCCACCACCACCAAGGGTCATTCAGGAGAAGATGACCTGCGTTAGGATCTCTGAAGGGTATGTAGGGTGAGTTACGCCAAGCATTGGTCCACGCCTCCCAGTCATAATACAAGTTTGGGTCTGGGTAAGTGTATTTGTAGCAGCAGAGCTAAAAGGTAAAATGTAAGTGTACAACAACACAACTATACTGTAAGTGTATTTTATAACAACACAACTATAGTGTAAGTGTATGTGTAGCACTATAGCCAAATTGTCAAATAATCTGCTAGACTGTAATATTTTAAAAATATTCAATAATGATATTTGACACAAGTGTTTCAAGAAATTTAAGCAACCACGTAAAAATTGGTTCCCTATTGCTGCAACTTCAACTGAATCTAACTTAAAAAACATTTAGCTATAGATATGCCACAATTAAATAAATGATGAAAATCTAACTTAGAAACATTTAGCAATAGATATGCCACAATTAAATGAAAGATGAGTTAGATCAAACCATTACCCTATTGAGAGGGTTGCCCCTCAGCCTATCCAGGCGTGACTTGGCCATTGGGCTGAGAGCGAAGCAAATGATGTATGACCTGTCATCTCCTTCAACTTCCTTCCAAGAATTCGACCACCACTGACCCCCCATGCGGTCAAGGCTACAAGGACAGTCAAACAGGGCGGCTACGTGTGTTTGATGGGTCCTGTTGGTTATGAGGTGTTGGTTTTGTAAGTAAAAGTTCATGCACTGGCTGTCTGGGTTTACGAAATAGCCGACTTGTTCAATCCAGGTACCATAGCGACCTGAGAAAGACAATCAATTGTAAAATCAAAACAAGTCTGGAGAAAAAGGGCGGCAAAATTCAACAAAGACAGTCAATATCAGAATAAATGCAACACTGGCATAATTTGGGGAAAAAAGCAGGTCTTTCTATAGTATAATCAGCAAATCTTTTGTTTTTTTAATTAACTAATAACTTTCTATATAAACATTGTTATACCGTCTTTGCTAAAGCAATTTTATGTCGTATCATTCATTAGAGTTTACAAGCATACGCTTATCATTTTTACTTCCCTCAACTGCTGGGTACTTATAAGTGCTGCATATGCTCATTGCAAAGACCATAATAAAAAAAATGATCCCCTACTCTGCTGATGACCTTGCCATCTAACCTTTGACATTTCATTCACTCAAATCTTACTAACCTGTGTTCCAAACCACTTTATCCATGTTGGTGGTAAGATCAGTGTAGGTCACTTGGTAATCTCTAATTAAGTCTGCAGAAACCAGACCAACTGCTATAGTTCTCCACTGTTCATAAGCCCAGTTCATCTCATCCTTTTTGTAAGTGACTATAGCATATGATGTCACACCATCACTCACAAACACAGCTTGGAATGTATTCGTTTCAACTCTCTTGTTTAAAAAAAAAAAACATAATTAATTTTAAAAGTTAATTTCAACTTTCTAGTTAAAAATATATATATATATAATTAAGCAAAAAAAAAAGTTTCAACTTTCTAGTTTAAGAAAAAATGAATAACTAAACAAAATAAAATGTCTATTCTAGAATCAACAATTAGAAAACAAAACCTTGATAGCATTGGTATTACTTTGGCTGAGAAAAATATTGAAGAGTGCTGTCCAATTTTTTACATTTAAAAAGCTGTTTCAGTCTGAATATTGTTAAAAAAAATACTTTTTTTTAAAATCCGTAATTTCATTATCCTAAAAGTTTTTTCTCTGTGACTAAGAATGTACTGAAATGTTCACCTTTGTCAAACAATATTCCTCATACAAAGACTGGTAGTAGAGAATCCACCAGTCATATGTTTTGTACTCATCAAACCAGTCACATAGCCACATGTACCAGGAGTATGGCTCCACTTTTTCATAGCTGGCAACTAGGACTGTGGTTGCCAGAAAACTTTCTAGGTGAAAATGTTCATTTATCTAGGGCAAAAAAATGTTTTTCTAGATATAACAGCTTGTTTATCTGGTGGGGAGGGGGAGGTGAATTCCTCAATACAATTTATTAAAGATCTCATGTGAAAATTTAAATTTTGAGATACTAATTATCTACAGTAGACAAAATTATTTGTATGTAAGAAAAACTTGCTCAAATACAAAAATTGTGTGATCATGCCAATGTGTAGAATAAAAATATTTTCTCAATGAAATTGTTGCTCTATGTGTTGTAAATACATTGTCCTAGATAAGGTTACTAAACTCTCTATTGTAACCAAAAATAGGGGAATTAATATTCAATTATTATTCTTTTTATTTAAGTTCAATTTGAATTCCATTGGCTACTCTGGAAGATATGACTTACCTCTTGACTAGCCCTGGTGAGCACATCATTCAGTTTTGGTGAGTTCTGTGTCCTTCCATTGGCTACTCTGGTAGATATGACTTACCTCTTGACTAGCCCTGGTGAGCACATCATTCAGTTTTGGTGAGTTCTGTGTCCTTCCATTGGCTACTCTGGTAGATATGACTTACCTCTTGACTAGCCCTGGTGAGCACATCATTCAGTTTTGGTGAGTTCTGTGTCCTTTCATTGGCTACTCTGATAGATATGACTTACCTCTTGACTAGCCCTGGTGAGCACATCATTCAGTTTTGGTGAGTTCTGTGTCCTTCCATTGGCTACTCTGGTAGATATGACTTACCTCTTGACTAGCCCTATTGAGCACATCATTCAGTTTTGGTGAGTTCTGTGTCCTTCCATTGGCTACTCTGATAGATATGACTTACCTCTTGACTAGCCCTATTGAGCACATCATTCAGTTTTGGTGAGTTCTGTGTCCTTTCATTGGCTACTCTGATAGATATGACTTACCTCTTGACTAGCCCTGGTAAGCACATCATTCAGTTTTGGTGAGTTCTGTGTCCTTCCATTGGCTACTCTGATAGATATGACTTACCTCTTGACTAGCCCTATTGAGCACATCATTCAGTTTTGGTGAGTTCTGTGTCCTTCCATTGGCTACTCTGGTAGATATGACTTACCTCTTGACTAGCCCTGGTGAGCACATCATTCAGTTTTGGTGAGTTCTGTGTCCTTCCATTGGCTACTCTGGTAGATATGACTTACCTCTTGACTAGCCCTATTGAGCACATCATTCAGTTTTGGTGAGTTCTGTGTCCTTCCATTGGCTACTCTGGTAGATATGACTTACCTCTTGACTAGCCCTGGTGAGCACATCATTCAGTTTTGGTGAGTTCTGTGTCCATTTAGACAAGGGATTCACTTGCTCATACAGGTGATAAAACACTTTGCCAGATTGCTTTGGGTTGGTATAGGTCCAGAAAGGTGCCAGCACATTGGGAGTGGGGTCCGTTGAGTAAGTGTACTGTAAATCTGGCCACCAAACTCTTGTTTGACGGCCAAATGTAATCACACCATTTGGTAGGACCTGGTATAGAAATTAGGCAACAAAATTAGATATACATTTATTAGCGAAATTGTATGTAAAAGGGAGATTAAACAGTAGATAAATAATTCAAAAGAAATTGTGTCTAACTTACATGTGCAACTTGAACCCTAGTTGAGCCAAATGGAACTGACTTACATGTGCAACTTGAACCCTAGTTGAGCCAAAGGGAACTGACTTACATGTGCAACTTGAACCCTAGTTGAGCCAAAGGGAACTGACTTACATGTGCAACTTGAACCCTAATTGAGCCAAAGGGAACTGAATTACATGTGCAACTTGAACCCTAGTTGAGCCAAAGGGAACTGACTTACATGTGCAACTTGAACCCTAGTTGAACCAAATGGAACTGACTTACATGTGCAACTTGAACCCTAGTTGAGCTAAATGGAACTGACTTACATGTGCAACTTGAACCCTAGTTGAGCCAAATGGAACTGACTTACAAGTGCAACTTGAACCCTAGTTGAACCAAATGGAACTGACTTACATGTGCAACTTGAACCCTTGTTGAACCAAATGGAACTGCACTTGAAAAAGTGATGGGTTTACTGATGGCATCGTACCAGTAGTAAAAACCTTCACCCCCACTTGTTTCAACAATGTAATCTCCTACAGATTCTCCATATGGATAGAGATCTAGGAAATCAGAAACATTATATTGAACTTTTAGGCCTTCTTGACACATTATATTATTTAGTAAAATAATCTTTCTACAATTAATCCATATTCCTGCAGTTTATTCTGATCAGCCAGAAAACACTGGCTGTCATTTAGTGTAGTTAATGAACATAATTTTTTAATAAAAATGTTTCCTTCATTGCAAATAGAAATTAAACCAGTGGGCACTTCAACATATTTGTGAATTATTAAAAACCCACTAGCATCAATGCAATTCTTTTTTATACTTAACAATGATAGTATATTTACAAAAATGACTTCTTGAGATATATTACATTCAATTAGATGTTGAACAAGTTAATTAAAAAGTCTAGTGACATTTAAGCGCAATTTCCTTATGTTATCTAAAAATAGCTCTGTCGTAGCGTAAATCAAGAGCAGGGTTAGTAAAACCATTGGTTAGTTATTAAAACGTTTTTTATTAAATTTTTTTTCAGTATTTTGCATGTTTTATTTACAATAGAGTTACATGACTAAAAACCATTGCGCGCCTACTGAATGTGATGACGCAGCCATTGAACGTGATGGCGCAGCTATTGAACGTGATGACGCGTGTGGTGTGGTTGGATAAATATGCTTACTAATTCGGTCCAAATTTTAATTAATTCAAAAAATTTTTTGTGACCGAACGAAAGGATATTTTTGAAAACTTTCTTCGGCAATATTGTTCTAAATTATGGCAGAAATCGATTGGTATATGTTTCAAGTCGCTAAGTGGTCTGGTTGCCGAGATATGGGCCAAAAACTGCTTTTTTTCCGACGCTTTTTGGCTTTTCCGGGAAATCCATGAAAGGAACCCGTAATTTTTATGGCCCATGTTCATCCTTGTAATTTGCTTAACATAATTGCTTTTGGAACTAGTCATCGATATTGCTTCGTTGAGGAGGAGATACGACTTAAAGCTGCGGACACACATCCATCCATCCATTCATTCATACATTCATACATCCAGAAATGACGGGTTAATAAACGCAATTCTCCAGAATGGAAATTGCGCTAAAAAGTACGAAACTAATTGTTACCTCTTTGTTTGAGAGCTGTTTCTGTAAAAATAAATTTAAAAAATAATATATAATTGGAAAAATTTGTTTTGAAAAAAAAATTCAGAGGATAACCAGTAAAGAATAATAAATGCTTATGATGATAAATACTGCCTATAAATTATAAATAAAACTGCTATTTAGACAAACTAAATAGTAAAATGAAATAATAGATACCATTTTGTTTCACACCTGAGGATAAAAGATTATTAAAAAATATTTTAATCGAATTAAAAAAAAATTTCATCAAATGTTATTGATTTTCTGCATAATAAAGCCATTTTTTTTTTGAAATACAAAAATAAACCGTATAATTTTAATGAAACATTTTTAACAAAACAATATAATGGTACTCATTGACAAAAATCATGAATGTGAATATGAATGTACTTACACGTGTAACCACCATCTATGTTGATGCAGTTGAAGTTTTCACCACAAATGTAAGGGGAATCTGTGCACTCATTGACATCTGTGCCACAATCAGCAGACGTGTATCCAGGTTTACAATTACAGTTGCCAGTTGTACTTGAGCAACTTTCTGTCTTGTTTATCTGGCAGGTGCAAGAGTTGTTACAGTTCCTGCCCCAGGTCCAGCTACTACAAGCTATTGTTTACATGAGGATTGAAAGATAAATTAAGATAGTCGTAGACATAAAATTAGATACTAAAATAGTAAATATGATACAATAAGAGGGTTACAAAAAAAAACAATGCTAAAATAAGATGAATAAAAATAAGTTGATTGTTGTGCTAAATTTAAATTTAAAATATGATAATATTCTATCAAATTAAAGTAGTAAGCATCATAGTAAAAAAAAAATAATATTGTTATATTAAAAAATTAGAAGTCACTGCAGTTTTATATTAAAAGAAGAAAACACTTTCCATGTTTATGAAAAACTACGCATTATTGTTATATTTAAACTGATGTAGAGAAATTTTAAAAAAAAGTACTTGCCTTCACAAGTATTTGGACTGGATAAAACATTTTTAAAGCCAATGTCACACTGACATAAGTAGCTTGATCCATTGGCTACACAAACTGAATGGAGACCACAGGGTGTAGTTTCCAGGCAAACATTGTTTTGTTCTGTACACTGGGTACCAGAGAACCCATCTTTACATAGGCAAGTTCCATTTGACTTCAGACAGGATGTAGTTTTGTTAACATCACAGTTGCATGTATTGCTGCAACCTTCTCCCCATGTCCAATTTCCACAGCTGCCAGCCAGATGACATTCAAAGCTTCCATGGGTGTTGATGCAGTCCATGTCTGGACCACAAGGAGACTGCAGACATTCGTCAACGTCTTCATCACAACGGCTGCCAGTGTAGCCATACAGACAAACACAGGTGCCATTCCAGCCGTGACAATCCATTGTGCTGTTGCGGTTACAGTTGCATGTATTGTTGCAATCTTTTCCCCATGTCCAATTTCCACAGCTGCCAGCCAGATGACATTCAAAGCTTCCATGGGTGTTGATGCAGTCCATGTCTGGACCACAAGGAGACTGCAGACATTCGTCAACGTCTTCATCACAACGGCTGCCAGTGTAGCCATACAGACAAACACAGGTGCCATTCCAGCCGTGACAATCCATCGTGCTGTTGCGGTTACAGTTGCATGTATTGTTGCAATCTTCTCCCCATGTCCAATTTCCACAGCTGCCAGCCAGATGACATTCAAAGCTTCCATGGGTGTTGATGCAGTCCATGTCTGGACCACAAGGAGACTGCAGACATTCGTCAACGTCTTCATCACAACGGCTGCCAGTGTAGCCATACAGACAAACACAGGTGCCATTCCAGCCGCGACAATCCATTGTGCTGTTACGGTTACAGTTGCATGTATTGTTGCAATCTTCTCCCCATGTCCAATTTCCACAGCTGCCAGCCAGATGACATTCAAAGCTTCCATGGGTGTTGATGCAGTCCATGTCTGGACCACAAGGAGACTGCAGACATTCGTCAACGTCTTCATCACAACGGCTGCCAGTGTAGCCATACAGACAAACACAGGTGCCATTCCAGCCGCGACAATCCATTGTGCTGTTGCGGTTACAGTTGCATGTATTGTTGCAATCTTCTCCCCATGTCCAATTTCCACAGCTGCCAGCCAGATGACATTCAAAGCTTCCATGGGTGTTGATGCAGTCCATGTCTGGACCACAAGGAGACTGCAGACATTCGTCAACGTCTTCATCACAACGGCTGCCAGTGTAGCCATACAGACAAACACAGGTGCCATTCCAGCCGTGACAATCCATTGTGCTGTTGCGGTTACAGTTGCATGTATTGTTGCAATCTTCTCCCCATGTCCAATTTCCACAGCTGCCAGCCAGATGACATTCAAAGCTTCCATGGGTGTTGATGCAGTCCATGTCTGGACCACAAGGAGACTGCAGACATTCGTCAACGTCTTCATCACAACGGCTGCCAGTGTAGCCATACAGACAAACACAGGTGCCATTCCAGCCGTGACAATCCATTGTGCTGTTGCGGTTACAGTTGCATGTATTGTTGCAATCTTCTCCCCATGTCCAATTTCCACAGCTGCCAGCCAGATGACATTCAAAGCTTCCATGGGTGTTGATGCAGTCCATGTCTGGACCACAAGGAGACTGCAGACATTCGTCAACGTCTTCATCACAACGGCTGCCAGTGTAGCCATACAGACAAACACAGGTGCCATTCCAGCCGCGACAATCCATTGTGCTGTTGCGGTTACAGTTGCATGTATTGTTGCAATCTTCTCCCCATGTCCAATTTCCACAGCTGCCAGCCAGATGACATTCAAAGCTTCCATGGGTGTTGATGCAGTCCATGTCTGGACCACAAGGAGACTGCAGACATTCGTCAACGTCTTCATCACAACGGCTGCCAGTGTAGCCATACAGACAAACACAGGTGCCATTCCAGCCGTGACAATCCATTGTGCTGTTGCGGTTACAGTTGCATGTATTGTTGCAATCTTCTCCCCATGTCCAATTTCCACAGCTGCCAGCCAGATGACATTCAAAGCTTCCATGGGTGTTGATGCAGTCCATGTCTGGACCACAAGGAGACTGCAGACATTCGTCAACGTCTTCATCACAACGGCTGCCAGTGTAGCCATACAGACAAACACAGGTGCCATTCCAGCCGTGACAATCCATCGTGCTGTTGCGGTTACAGTTGCATGTATTGTTGCAATCTTCTCCCCATGTCCAATTTCCACAGCTGCCAGCCAGATGACATTCAAAGCTTCCATGGGTGTTGATGCAGTCCATGTCTGGACCACAAGGAGACTGCAGACATTCGTCAACGTCTTCATCACAACGGCTGCCAGTGTAGCCATACAGACAAACACAGGTGCCATTCCAGCCGTGACAATCCATTGTGCTGTTACGGTTACAGTTGCATGTATTGTTGCAATCTTCTCCCCATGTCCAATTTCCACAGCTGCCAGCCAGATGACATTCAAAGCTTCCATGGGTGTTGATGCAGTCCATGTCTGGACCACAAGGAGACTGCAGACATTCGTCAACGTCTTCATCACAACGGCTGCCAGTGTAGCCATACAGACAAACACAGGTGCCATTCCAGCCGCGACAATCCATTGTGCTGTTGCGGTTACAGTTGCATGTATTGTTGCAATCTTCTCCCCATGTCCAATTTCCACAGCTGCCAGCCAGATGACATTCAAAGCTTCCATGGGTGTTGATGCAGTCCATGTCTGGACCACAAGGAGACTGCAGACATTCGTCAACGTCTTCATCACAACGGCTGCCAGTGTAGCCATACAGACAAACACAGGTGCCATTCCAGCCGTGACAATCCATTGTGCTGTTGCGGTTACAGTTGCATGTATTGTTGCAATCTTCTCCCCATGTCCAATTTCCACAGCTGCCAGCCAGATGACATTCAAAGCTTCCATGGGTGTTGATGCAGTCCATGTCTGGACCACAAGGAGACTGCAGACATTCGTCAACGTCTTCATCACAACGGCTGCCAGTGTAGCCATACAGACAAACACAGGTGCCATTCCAGCCGTGACAATCCATTGTGCTGTTGCGGTTACAGTTGCATGTATTGTTGCAATCTTCTCCCCATGTCCAATTTCCACAGCTGCCAGCCAGATGACATTCAAAGCTTCCATGGGTGTTGATGCAGTCCATGTCTGGACCACAAGGAGACTGCAGACATTCGTCAACGTCTTCATCACAACGGCTGCCAGTGTAGCCATACAGACAAACACAGGTGCCATTCCAGCCGTGACAATCCATTGTGCTGTTGCGGTTACAGTTGCATGTATTGTTGCAATCTTCTCCCCATGTCCAATTTCCACAGCTGCCAGCCAGATGACATTCAAAGCTTCCATGGGTGTTGATGCAGTCCATGTCTGGACCACAAGGAGACTGCAGACATTCGTCAACGTCTTCATCACAACGGCTGCCAGTGTAGCCATACAGACAAACACAGGTGCCATTCCAGCCGCGACAATCCATTGTGCTGTTGCGGTTACAGTTGCATGTATTGTTGCAATCTTCTCCCCATGTCCAATTTCCACAGCTGCCAGCCAGATGACATTCAAAGCTTCCATGGGTGTTGATGCAGTCCATGTCTGGACCACAAGGAGACTGCAGACATTCGTCAACGTCTTCATCACAACGGCTGCCAGTGTAGCCATACAGACAAACACAGGTGCCATTCCAGGCGTGACAATCCATTGTGCTGTTGCGGTTACAGTTGCATGTATTGTTGCAATCTTCTCCCCATGTCCAATTTCCACAGCTGCCAGCCAGATGACATTCAAAGCTTCCATGGGTGTTGATGCAGTCCATGTCTGGACCACAAGGAGACTGCAGACATTCGTCAACGTCTTCATCACAACGGCTGCCAGTGTAGCCATACAGACAAACACAGGTGCCATTCCAGCCGTGACAATCCATCGTGCTGTTGCGGTTACAGTTGCATGTATTGTTGCAATCTTCTCCCCATGTCCAATTTCCACAGCTGCCAGCCAGATGACATTCAAAGCTTCCATGGGTGTTGATGCAGTCCATGTCTGGACCACAAGGAGACTGCAGACATTCGTCAACGTCTTCATCACAACGGCTGCCAGTGTAGCCATACAGACAAACACAGGTGCCATTCCAGCCGTGACAATCCATTGTGCTGTTACGGTTACAGTTGCATGTATTGTTGCAATCTTCTCCCCATGTCCAATTTCCACAGCTGCCAGCCAGATGACATTCAAAGCTTCCATGGGTGTTGATGCAGTCCATGTCTGGACCACAAGGAGACTGCAGACATTCGTCAACGTCTTCATCACAACGGCTGCCAGTGTAGCCATACAGACAAACACAGGTGCCATTCCAGCCGCGACAATCCATTGTGCTGTTGCGGTTACAGTTGCATGTATTGTTGCAATCTTCTCCCCATGTCCAATTTCCACAGCTGCCAGCCAGATGACATTCAAAGCTTCCATGGGTGTTGATGCAGTCCATGTCTGGACCACAAGGAGACTGCAGACATTCGTCAACGTCTTCATCACAACGGCTGCCAGTGTAGCCATACAGACAAACACAGGTGCCATTCCAGCCGCGACAATCCATTGTGCTGTTGCGGTTACAGTTGCATGTATTGTTGCAATCTTCTCCCCATGTCCAATTTCCACAGCTGCCAGCCAGATGACATTCAAAGCTTCCATGGGTGTTGATGCAGTCCATGTCTGGACCACAAGGAGACTGCAGACATTCGTCAACGTCTTCATCACAACGGCTGCCAGTGTAGCCATACAGACAAACACAGGTGCCATTCCAGCCGTGACAATCCATTGTGCTGTTGCGGTTACAGTTGCATGTATTGTTGCAATCTTTTCCCCATGTCCAATTTCCACAGCTGCCAGCCAGATGACATTCAAAGCTTCCATGGGTGTTGATGCAGTCCATGTCTGGACCACAAGGAGACTGCAGACATTCGTCAACGTCTTCATCACAACGGCTGCCAGTGTAGCCATACAGACAAACACAGGTGCCATTCCAGCCGCGACAATCCATTGTGCTGTTGCGGTTACAGTTGCATGTATTGTTGCAATCTTCTCCCCATGTCCAATTTCCACAGCTGCCAGCCAGATGACATTCAAAGCTTCCATGGGTGTTGATGCAGTCCATGTCTGGACCACAAGGAGACTGCAGACATTCGTCAACGTCTTCATCACAACGGCTGCCAGTGTAGCCATACAGACAAACACAGGTGCCATTCCAGCCGTGACAATCCATTGTGCTGTTGCGGTTACAGTTGCATGTATTGTTGCAATCTTCTCCCCATGTCCAATTTCCACAGCTGCCAGCCAGATGACATTCAAAGCTTCCATGGGTGTTGATGCAGTCCATGTCTGGACCACAAGGAGACTGCAGACATTCGTCAACGTCTTCATCACAACGGCTGCCAGTGTAGCCATACAGACAAACACAGGTGCCATTCCAGCCGTGACAATCCATTGTGCTGTTGCGGTTACAGTTGCATGTATTGTTGCAATCTTCTCCCCATGTCCAATTTCCACAGCTGCCAGCCAGATGACATTCAAAGCTTCCATGGGTGTTGATGCAGTCCATGTCTGGACCACAAGGAGACTGCAGACATTCGTTAACATCTTCATCACAACGGCTGCCAGTGTAGCCATACAGACAAACACAGGTGCCATTCCAGCCGTGACAATCCATTGTGCTGTTGCGGTTACAGTTGCATGTATTGTTGCAATCTTCTCCCCATGTCCAATTTTCACAGCTGCCAGCCAGATGACATTCAAAGCTTCCATGGATGTTGATGCAGTCCATGTCTGGACCACAAGGAGACTGCAGACATTCGTTAACGTCTTCATCACAACGGCTGCCAGTGTAGCCATACAGACAAACACAGGTTCCATTCAGGCTGTGACAATCCATTGTGCTGTTGCGGTTACAGTTGCATGTATTGTTGCAATCTTCTCCCCATGTCCAATTTCCACAGCTGTTAGCCAGATTACATACAAACTTTCCATCAGTATTGATGCAGTCCATACCTGGGCCACAAGGGGACTGCAGACATTCGTTAACGTCTTCATCACAAAAGCTTCCTGTATATCCATCATAACAAAAACATGTGCCGTTCGACCTGTGACAATCAATTGTGCTTTTGCGGTTACAGTTGCATGTATTGTTGCAATCTTCTCCCCATGACAAATTTCCACAGCTGCCAGCCAGATGACATTCAAAGCTTCCATTGGTGTTGATGCAGTCCATGTCTGGACCACAAGGGGACTGCAGACATTCATTAGCGTCTTCATCACAACCGCTGCCAGTGTAGCCATACAGACAAACACAGGTGCCATTCCAGCCGTGACAATCCATTGTGCTGTTGCGGTTACAGTTGCATGTATTGTTGCAATCTTCTCCCCATGTCCAATTTCCACAGCTGCCAGCCAGATGACATTCAAAGCTTCCATGGGTGTTGATGCAGTCCATGTCTGGACCACAAGGAGACTGCAGACATTCGTCAACGTCTTCATCACAACGGCTGCCAGTGTAGCCATACAGACAAACACAGGTGCCATTCCAGGCGTGACAATCCATTGTGCTGTTGCGGTTACAGTTGCATGTATTGTTGCAATCTTCTCCCCATGTCCAATTTCCACAGCTGCCAGCCAGATGACATTCAAAGCTTCCATGGGTGTTGATGCAGTCCATGTCTGGACCACAAGGAGACTGCAGACATTCGTCAACGTCTTCATCACAACGGCTGCCAGTGTAGCCATACAGACAAACACAGGTGCCATTCCAGCCGTGACAATCCATTGTGCTGTTGCGGTTACAGTTGCATGTATTGTTGCAATCTTCTCCCCATGTCCAATTTCCACAGCTGCCAGCCAGATGACATTCAAAGCTTCCATGGGTGTTGATGCAGTCCATGTCTGGACCACAAGGAGACTGCAGACATTCGTTAACGTCTTCATCACAACGGCTGCCAGTGTAGCCATACAGACAAACACAGGTGCCATTCAGGCTATGACAATCTACTGAGTTATTCTGTTCACAGTTACAAGGCTCTGAACAGTTTTCTCCCCATGTCCAGTTTCCACAATCTGTTATATATGTGAGATCCCTTTTTATAATACAATATTACATTTTGCAACTGTATCTTTAAATGTATGAAAATTTCTTTGAGGAAAAAAATTGTTTTAGACTTTTTATCTGAAGAATTATATCATTTTAGCTCTTCCCTTTAATATATATTATATACATATATATGAAATTTATGTTGACTTTGTATTTTATATAGTAAGAACATAATATGAAAATAAAATATTAAATTATTTGTCTCAAATTAACTTACCAGTTCTTTCTGAACAAATCATTTCACCATTAGAATCAATATAGTCACACTGATTTCCATCTTTACAGAACATCTGAGCCACATTAAGTTTGTTCATCAAATTACATAATCCTGTCCCTGTGAGAGATAAAAAAAAAAATAATTAAATCTAGACAGCCTATAGGTTTTTTATCAAACTTTGGCAGCATCTAAACATTAAATGCAAATTATTTATTTAAGATCCTGTAGACTTGAATAAATTATACTTTTCTTACACAGCAAATGATCTTCCATAGCAGCCTGTGACCTGTAAACCTTTATTGGGCCAATTAGTTTTCCTGCTGAACCTTTGAAGTTCTGGTGAGACATTATCATTACTGCTGCTACCCATTCCAGTAGATCTTCATGAATCTCTTGTGTGAACCACAGAGAAATGTTTAAACATATGTTGGTGCCATTGTAGGGTGAACAAACACTGAAAACAATTGTAGTCATGATAAAGGGATTTGTTTCCAATTGCAAATATATTTACAAAGGAGTCATTTTTAAGGACTAGAGAAAAATTGCAAAATTCAGCCTCATGCTACCCCTGTAATCCAATGTTTTGTAACAAATTGAGCTGACTAACCTCTGGATATTTTTATACTGCTAGCATAACTAGTTAATCAAAGATTCTTACAAATTTCAAATATTGATATTTATTTTATATATACGGATTTCTTTTGGACATTTGCCATTCTATACCAGATATTAAAAGCTAGCTTCCTTTTGCAATTAACATAGAGGTGATTGAATTCCTTACATTTAAGTAATTTTTTAAAATTTCACATTTTGAAACATTATACTGTAGTAGAGCTGCATTAATTTGGCTGATGTTTCAAATTAAATTTTTGCCTTGTTAAAAGCTCTAATATTGTAAAGGTGTAACATAATTCTTAGATCACCTGTCACTTTCACTTATTGCCATAAGAAAACCTTGATTGATAGCATGCAGACTAGAAGAGATCTAAAAATAATATGAATAAGGAGCATATAGCATTCTATTTTACAGTTCAAAACGTGCATAACATTTTTAAACATTTTTTAAATATTGCAGAACAAAAATAAAATAATTTTAAAAGCTTGTAAAACGTAGGTATATTTTTCCAACTTTTTTTTAAACTGTACTAACTCACTATAATTAATTATCAAAAGCTGAAAAATTTTTTTTATTAAAACCCCTAGAGAAGTAAAAAATAAAAGAAAACATTTATTTTATAACCAGGCAAAATCAGGTAGCAAAAATATATCCACCTGTTAAATTCTTTTAATTCTTATATTCATCTATCTAATATTTATAAATACTTACATCAGTTAAAAAGTTTGTCTTAACAATTATATTTTCAAGTTCTGAAGTGCTTTCAATTCCAAGGATGACTTCTATATACATAACAAATCTGTTTATATCATCTGTAAAAATGTAACAAATCTTGTCAGGCAAGTGAGGTGGGGGTAGGAGTGTCTTGAATATTCAAAAATAAATAAAACAAAACATACCAACCACTGTGATAGCATATATGAATGGGAGTTCAAATCTTGGATTTGTGTTTGACTGCAATAAAAAAAAAATAATAGCCTACACTTCATTAACGAATTAAATATTTTTGTATGCAACTATAATTTTTATGAAAATAAAATTGTTTTCAGTGCAAGATGAAACTTTTTAAAAAGGGTTTTTTTTTTAATAAAAACTTTCAAGTAATTTACCTCACAGTTGTAACATCACTAAGTTAAATTGCACTCACAAAGTTTACAGACAATGCTTTGACGTGTGTTAAATCATACATCATTCCCATAAAGGCATCAACAGAACGTGCATTATTCATCTCTAGGCTCATATTGATTACAGGCTGGACAAAACTCCTATAACAGTACAAAGTTATGGAAAAATATTCGCACTAATTTTAGTTATCATATTACTTACAGAATGAGAAGTAATCTATCAAAACATTACAGAGTTAATTTAAAGATTAGTTGCATATTTTTTTATTGAATATTTTGTGTCAGATCATTTTATTTTCACCACTGGGATAAAAGATGTTTTCTAAAATAGGTTTAACTATATTACAAAATGTCTCCTTGAAGAACAAAAGGTGCTGTTTCTTTTTCAATTATAAACTGAACTATTTGATCATTGTGCTTAAATTGTCAATGTAATGCTTTAAATTTATATGATTCAAGAATTTTACTTAAGGAAACAAGAAAAGAATAAGCCATTAGAAAAATAAAAGTTTTTACCATGTGTAATAACAATGTGTATTTTAAATTGGAATTTCTTACCATGTTTGATGAAAAAACATGTATTTTAAAGCTTGAGTTTCTTACCTTGTGTAATAGACACCAACATGCATTTTAGTTCTAAATATTTGACACGTCTCAGGGTCGGTGCAGTTGGCATCTGGTATACAGATCTGGTCATCAATGACAAAGGCTTGGACATTATCACAGGTGTATGGGTATGGGAAACACAGGTCTCTGTGGGAAATGGAAGCTCTGTTAGTGTTGTTTGTTCTTTGTGTAACCAAATGTTTCTAGTTGTATTGTAAGGTTTGTCCTGTGTTGCCAAATGTCACTAGACGTATAGATAGGTTTGTTCTTTGTGTAACAAAATGCCATTAGTTACATTGCTAAGTTGTTCTTTGTGTAGCCAAATGTTATTAGCTATATTATTAGGTTTTGTTTTTGTGGACCCAACTTTCATTAATTAAAAGCATTTACTTATTGACTGCATATAGTTCATATACCAAAACAATTATAATACTGTAAGAAAAAGTTCAATAAATACATGACTACACCGTCCTATTAATTTCTTTCAATTTACTGATAATGTATAGACCAATGAATATGTTGTAAGTTTTAATTTGCAACCTAGTTTGATATTAAATTCGTCATTAAAATTAAACACTAATAAATTTTATAATAAAAGGGGAAGTAACTAGGTAGCTATTATCACTAAGTCAAGTAAGGTAGTGTTTATAAACCTTAAAGTAGAGACAGATGTTGGTAAAAGCAGGTAAATCTATATGACTTTTGTAAAGAAACACTGCAACCTAATGTACATCACAAACTAATGTCTCGGGTTAAGACAAATTTTTTTGAGTTTTGATGAGCGTCAATAACATTAACAATAGGTTTGCAAACAATAAAAAGGGACTAGATCTATATATTAAACAGGCCTTAAAAGGGTAATTGAGTTTTTCAAAATGATGTAAATTCAGATTGTTTTAAAATTTGACTTAAAAGACTTTAGAGACTAAAACTAAAAAGAGACATGTAAAATGTGAACTTTTTTGTGTGCCAGTTGTGTATCATACTCACAGAGTATACTCATACTCATTCAGTGTCATTTTGGTCATTGATTGATGATTATCAACTAAATTTTACTAAATTTGCTCAGGATTCTACATTCTACCACATTTAAAATAAAACATGTAAACATTGTTACTTTGTATATCAAAGATAGTTGATTACATACATACATATTCATATTAATCTAAATTCTAAATCTAGATTCTAGCTTAACAATTCAAAATAAAGGATGAACACTATACGACAGACTTAGACAAACAACAGTAAAACCTAGTGTTTTAGTGAGTGTATACTCCTATCGAGTATTTTTTATTGACACGCCGTAGCAGACATTGTTCTAGATCTAGAATCTAGATCTAAAAAATCTAGATCTAGATCTAGATCTAGAATCTAGATTACATTTTTATTCTACAAGTAAAATAAAAATGTGATCAATGACTAAATTTTCATAGATTTAAATAATTAAATAATCAAATAGATCTAGTATAATTTTTTTTTAATAGATCTAGATCTAGATCTAGGCCTAGATGTTGACTATGAGACCATGTCATTGTGAATGTAGATATTCTTAGAATTTAAATCTTAATTTAATAATAAGTTATCTTTCATTAAAATTATAGGCTAAAGCTTTTTCGCCTTGAAGACAAAAGTTGCAGTCGTTAATGATTTTTTTTAAAGTATTATTACGTTTCTTATCGAATCCAATTTTTTTATTTTTACAAAGTATTTGTGCATGCATTTTTAAAAACATTCAGCGGTCGCTCTCAGTACGACCATTTTAAGGATAGTGGCCCCTTTTTCGCAGAATAATTAAATAAAATTTAAAATAAGTTCCGCACAGAGGCGTATCCAGGTTTTCGTTGTAGGGGGAGCGAAAAGAGCAAAAAAAGGCGCCGAATTTTTAACACGTTCTATATACGTGTATTATATATATATATATATATATATATATATATATATATATATATATATATATATATATATATATATATATATATATATATATATATATATATATATATATATATATATATATATATATAATAACTAGCTGTATGTCATTACTTCGCTATGATGTAAAATAAATTGAAAGTAGCACTATGAAGAAATAAGAAAAAAACACACAGTGTAGACCGACAAAACAAAAAGTGTATCAATCCAAACAAAAACAAGTTAATAAAAAGTCTAGTGACAATTTAAGCACAATTTCCTTATGTTATCCATAACAATTTTTATTTTTTTGTGACCGAACGAAAGGATATTTTTTGGCGCTAAAAACCTACACGATGCTCAGTTTAAATTAAAAATATCATCCTAGGCCTAAACGATGCTTAGTTTAAAAATTCTTAATTAATTTTTTGTGACCGAACGAAAGGATATTTTTGAAAACTTTCTTCGGCAATATTGTTCTAAATTATGGCAGGAATCGATTGGTAAATGTTTCAAGTAGCTAAGTGGTATGGTTGCCGAGATATGGGCCAAAAACTGCATTTTTTTCGAGGTATTTTGGCTTTTCCGGGAAATCCAGGAAGGAATTCCGGGAATTATTTTGGCCCACAATCATCCTAGGAACTTGCTTAACATATTTGCTTTTGGAACTAGTCCTCGATATTTCTTCGTTGAGGAGGAGATACGACTTAAAGCTGCGGACACACATCCATACATTCATTCATTCATCCATCCATCCATCCAGAAATGACGAGTTAATAATCGCAATTGTCCAGTATGGAAATTGCGCTAAAAAATATACACACACTACAACCAAAAACAATGAACGTAACACAATCTGTTTTGTAATTCTTGTAAAAAAAAAAATTCTTACATAATAATTCCTGGGAAATTATTTAAGACAGGTGAAATAGGGGAAATAATCACTCTCTTAATATAAATATGTATATATCTACACATTTAATTATAAATGTCAAAACAAACAAATAATTACTTAAAAATATAATGAAATTGTTTAACACTATTCGTGTTTACAAAAAGTTTTTGCCTATAATCAGAATTTAGTATATCGTCATCATAAATGCTAAAGTATTACAGCATAATGAAAGTTTTTTTTAAAATCAGAGTTGGTATAAAACCACGCTTTTCGATAGAATAGAAAAACATTCGGAATAACAGCCTACATTTAACTAAAGTTCAGTCTTTTAGTTCAGATCATATATTTTTTAATTAACTACTACTTCTTTGTGTTCTTTAAAGATCACTTTTTTTAACATAGTGATAGGTATGGGTTAGATCACTGTATTGATCACACACCTTTTTACTGGTAATTGCAAAAGCAATATTCACAGAGTTTTACGTTTAAAAAGCTAATTTTCTGGCGGCATGGTATTTTGGTACATCATTACGCGTTTTTCTGCATGTACTTAACAGATCAGTTCGAGGTGGGTTGGGGGGGGGGGGTGGGGTCAACTTCATTCACCACTGTCTGGTCACTTTAGGTCAATTATCCAACCCAGTGTATACCTAGGTGTGACATTAATGTCGCTCTACACAATTGTGGTGGTGAGGTATTACACAAATATATATTACAGAAATAGATTTAAATAAGTAGCAGTGTTATTATGACAATATTTTTTTACAGAGGGGTCCATCGGGGAGGGGGGTTGTAAGTGTTTCATATAGTTTGTAATAGTAATCACTATCGCCCAAACTGTAAGAATACTACTACTTCATCGTGATGACGTTGTTGACCTTGTCAAAATTTCCCCACCACTACGCAGTTTGCTCATAAGTAAATTTAAATAGAGGTGCCACATCAGTTGTATTTGTTTCTGTATTGTAATCTTTTAAAAATTAATCACACGATTCAAACTGTATATATAAAGTAATTATGTGTGAAGTTTTATGTATAACATTTTCTAATTCAATTATTCGTAAGCAAATACATTAAAAGTTGCCTTAAACTCAGTGGCGTAGCTACCGTAAAGCCGTAAAGCTAGCGTAAGCAAGGCATAGGGGCCCAAGGCAAATAGGGGCCCTTTTTCTAAAGTTTGAGGGGGGGGGTGCAAATCGAATGTCTGAGGGGTGGGGGGTGCAAATCGAAATTTAGTCCCCGGGCGCCGGGAAGGGTCGCTACGCCTCTGACGTGTTGTAAACGTAGACACTACTAGACTAGTACAATAATGCTTAATTGCCGCATGAAAAGAAATCTTGTGATTTACATAGATGTGCCGACCAAAAATATTTTTTTAACAAATATCATTGTTTAAAACTTTGAGTTTAAAAAGTTTCCAAAGAGGCGCCACTTTGCTGAAAATGGCCAGAGGGGGAGCGGCCGCTCCCCCTGCTCCCCCCTGCGTACGCTACTGGTTCCGCAACACACACAAAAAAGACCCAACAAATACATTATTAAATCTACGAATTAAAACGTTAAGTGTGCCCAGTAGAATACAACTTTTGGGTATCTTTGATATGTCAATACTAACAGGGGGGGGGACTGCAGGTCCCTTGCCTGTCAGATGATCTAGAATATTCTCCTAAGGCATCTTGTTCAGATGCACATATAAGTAGATGGATTGTGTTAAAAAATCGATGTAACTGTTTGTGGGGGCGGGGAAGGAAGCTGTATAAATGTACAGAAAAAGAAACACGTTCTCACACAACTTAAGGACGTGTAAATTTAAGTAAAACAATATAAAAGAGCATAGCTGCCTTCATGAGATGAATGAGCAAACTTCAAATAAAGAATAACTATAGTTGTTTAATTTACAATTAGAATCATAGCTTTTGAAACTGGCAACACTCTGTGAATATTGTTTTGCAACTACCAGTAAAGAGTTATAATCTGAGCAATATAGTGATCTAACCCATACCTTATCATTTTGTTAAAAAATAATCTTTTAAGACCTCAAAGACTTAATGCGTAAAGACTTAAGTTAAATTCAGCCTATTTCGAATATATTTAAGCCTAACGATATAGGCCCATTATTTTAAAACTGACTAGAAACAATAATAAAGTATTATCGTGGTCTTGAAAAAAAAATCCGTTAGCCAGCCACCCAACGTATTGACCCACCTATTCTAAATTTAGTTAAAAATAAAAAAATAACAAAATAACAAATAAACAATAAACCACCCCTACCTCTAGGCACCATGTGCACAATCGTGTGTTGTTATTGGCCTAATTATTTTGTAAAACAAAACAAAAAACTCAATGATTCTCGGGGCTCTGTTAATTGGGTTAATCGAATCGCTAGCATCGCTAAAATCAATTTTTAAGTCTTAATGACCAATCAATTACACACAAATAGAAGAATTTCTATATCAGGCGGGGCATGTTAACCACGTCTGGATTATACTTTCACATATAAAAATTATAGGCCCAGATCTCTAGACTCTAGACTATACACAATGGTAGACTGGGCCGCCGAGGCACCAGGAAAATCCCAGTTTCCCGGCTTATTTTTTGTTTACTTTGTTGGGCTTATATTGCTTACATATTTTAGCTTATTTTTGCTTTGCGTTTTTGGGCCTAGATCTATATTTTTTTAAAAATTCTTTTGGTTTTTTGTTTTTTTTTTCCTATAGGCCTATTTGCTTTGGGTTGTTTTTTTTTTGGGGGGCATATTTTTGCTTTGATTTTTGGGTCTATATTTATATATAGGCCTATCATTTTTTTTTGCCTATATTTAATTTGATTTTTGTGCCTACATTTACTTTGATTTTAATTTTTTTGGGCATATTTGCCCATATTTTTTCATGCGTTTATCTAACCCTTCCGATCGTTTCGGTATTATTGTATGGGCCTATAGCATTTTATAATGTGGCCTATGACTTTGTTGTCATCGGTTCTCCAGCACCGTTTGAACATAGCCAGTCCACCCCTGTTAATATGTCGATAACGATACGTCAAACTCAGTTACTCTATAAGCTAACCCTAGCTCTAAATGGTGCTATAATCCAAAAATAATAGTTATTGATGATTCCTACGTCATGCAATTTAGCTCATGTAAATACGGATAATCGATACAAATAATTTCTCTAAGTATTAAACAGATTCGAATAGAATCTAGTTGGTTGGCTACTTTGTATAAAATCGATGCTAATTTTTGTTCGTTTCGCCACACGAATCCTGGCTTTAACTATAGCACTAATCCCTAACCCAGAACCTAACGTTACTTTTAGCACTGTCTAGTCAGGACTCTAAGCCTGAACCCCCCCCCCCCCAGTTACAGGCAGACACTCTCGATACAATACTGTGTTTCTTATAACAACACCAAAGATTGGGACTGTTCGTAATTAAAGGATAGCCTGTGGTCAACCAATTTAATACTTCACAAAGAAAAACACACGCATCGAAAGTTGCGTGATATATTTACACATACACGAATACACACACACACACACACACACACACACATATATATATATATATATATATATATATATATATATATATATATATATATATATATATATATATATACATATATATATATATATATAATAAGGCAACAAAAACGTAGCTCAATTTAAACATAAAAAACTTACTACACTAAAAACACAACAGAAGCATCAACAGTTAACTACGCCACACACATCTTTCCTGTACCAAACCCACCCCACCCACAATCCCACGCACACTACACGTACACGAACACCTGACCACACCGTACTAAACTCACTTTTACGACCTTCGTCAGTTAACTTTTAATGTTACAATTTTTTAAGTTATATTAAGTACAGTTTTTAATGAAATTATTTGACGTATGAAACTAATAATGCGTACACAAAAGAGATATAATTTAATTTAAAAAAACCTAAGGTGCATAACATGACCATTCAGTGTGTTCGTTGGGTGAGCAGTCAATAAGTGAGTCAACACAGTCTATAATGAGTACACGTGGAATTGAGTTAACCAGTCTGACCCCCCCCCCCCCTTCCCTGCCTATTGACAAAACATGAATAAAACCATGGACACTTTTAACTACTTGTTATATAAGTGCAACAAGCTGGCTACAAAAAAAAACTTAGAATGATCTGAGTTACCTGTAATAAATGTGCATGTAGTTTGCCACAATAAAACCTTGGATGACTTTAGAGGCAGCGCCTGGTTGTTTGAGTGATTCGGTGAAATTTGCATAGTCGCATGACGACATCACCAGGGTCAAATCCATGTCAATGTTCACTCTCTCGTTCGTCATGTTTCTACCTGTAAAATTATATAACGAAATGATAAGGGTCAAATCCATGTCTAAGTTGACTCTCTCGTTCGTCATGTTTCTGCCTGTAAAATTATATAACAAAATGATAAGGGTCAAATCCATGTCTAAGTTGACTCTCTCGTTCGTCATGTTTCTGCCTGTAAAATTATATAACGAAATGATAAGGGTCAAATCCATGTCTAAGTTGACTCTCTCGTTCGTCATGTTTCTACCTGTAAAGTTTTCTAACACAATTGTATGACGTCTAAGCTGTATTTTTTTTTTTTTTGTTATTTGCTTCATGTTTGTATCCTGGGCAGTTACCACCAAACACTAAATCCATTCAGGGCGTTCAAAACTTACATCATATTTTTTCAGCCTAGAAAAAAGCATGTTGGCCATAGTCGCAAAAGTCTGAGTACTCACCCCTCTCCCGCCCCTCGTCTCAGTGTTTGATGTTAACATCAATAAATTATTATGGAAAAACAGTATTGAAAAATAAATTAAAATCAGTTTAATTTTTTTAAATATAGGTTTTGGGGCGTCACATTTCTTTACCACCCCTCCCCCGCACACACACACACACACACACCTGAAGTATTTGATAATAAATATGCCATCAGTTCTCAAAGTATCACACACACACACCCTCCCCCCCCCCCCCCACACCCACTATGTGAGTACTTGCTTGCTGAATGATGAGTCATATCTCTGAGTCTTCTACTGAATCTCTTAAAATATTATCAGTCAAACAGTGTTTGACGCATATGCCAACGTCATTATTCATTTTATTGGTCCACTTTATTGTGTTCATAAAATCGTTTTAAAATTTTTATCTGCACATAAAAATTTTTAACGGCCATCGAGCCAATACCAACAAGTTTTATAGGGACTTAACCAAACCAACCAATGGGGAGAGCTAATAAAAATACAGTAACTCTTCAAACTTCCCGGTTCATATTTACAGTAGTTTTTTAACACGTTTTTCTTATTTTCATACAGCGCTGTGGTAAGTTGTTTGCTATTTACCTTCTCCTTCCGTGCAAGATGTGGAGTTGAAGGTCACATACGGGCAGACTAGACAGTGGCGGACGTGTTCACTTTTGTACTGACCAGCCGGACACGACTCGCAGGCTTGTGACGTCAGACTGTAGAACTGGTCGGGCGGGCAGCTGTCTGCTGCACAAGGAATTATAATATGACGTCATGGATGGAAGAGCTCAACGCCTGTCTGGTGTCTATAACAATACTAATCTAGCAACCAGATTTTCTTTCAGGTATCTCTTCGGGGGGAGGGGGGGGGGGGCGTGTACAGCCCCCTGAATATAAAATAATTTATATGGAAAATATATGCTCTTACCGCAACTGCCCTTCCCGGAAAATTTAGTACGCCCCCCCCCCCCCCCCCAGAAAGTTTCAAGAAAAAAGTTTGAAAGAAAAACTACTAGCAACTAAACGGAGACGCTATACATCTCCTAAAGCAGGTTTTTGTATTTATTTCCCCTCCAAGTTGCCTTTCATACCAGCTATTAGATTTTAGCCAAATATGTTTTTAAAAGCTTTTGTTTCATATAGATTTCCTTTCAGCGATTTTGCTCCGGAGTGCGGAGGGGTGGGGCCACTTGAAACTTTGAGGAGGGGCTGCACTTAAATTTCCTGGGGTGAATACAACATAATTTTTCTACATAAATTTTTTTTTAAATTTCGTTAAAGGGGGAAGGGTATGGGGCGTGCGCTTGGGGTTGGGTGGGTAAGGGGAGTGGAGCAGTGCCCCTTCGAAGAGATGCCTGGAAGATATTCTGGAAAGGCTAACTTTAGATATAGATTACCTGTATAGATTTATGTTATTTTTACTGCATATTATGTTATTTCAAATATGGATAGTTAACTTTCAACAAGGATTAGCTTTTAAATAAAGTTTCATATAAAAATGGATGAAAAATTAAAATAAGCATTTGATATTGTAAATTTGATAATAAAAACTTTAATTTGTTTTATTTTTAGCATAAAGACCTAGTGAAAATTAATGTTTGTTAAATCAAAAGAATAAAATCAATGTTATTGTTCAATGTAATTGAAGGCTACTGTTTGTGTAAATGCAGGTCACATGATAGATGAAGCTGAAAGTGAAAGTCTCTCGCGTGTGTTGAATATGTTCTTTACTATAGCCCCACCTAATGCTCCATCGTTGGCTTGACAGGCCGCAGGTATTATCAGGAGCCAGATGAGCAGTACGGAGCAATCCATTGTGAGGGGAGGGGGGGGGGAGCTGTACACTATTGTGTCGTCTGATTGGCCATTTCTTTCAACTGAAAGAACGAACAAAAATATAAGATAAAAAATAAAAATAACACACACACACACACACATATATATATATATATATATATATATATATATATATATATATATATATATATATATATATATATATATATATATATATATATATAAAGAGAGAGAGAGAGAGAGAGAGAGAGACGAAAATGAAAAAATCAAGCAGAAATTGTTGTTACCTCCCCTTTGTTTCAAACTATTTAAAAAGTAAATTATCTGCCCCTAATAGCCGTCACTAATTCAACCCGGCTCTACGATTGTAAACATTCGTTGTGAACCAAAGCTCACCATACTGGTGTGGGTGGTAGCGATATGCCTGGAGAGCGGGGGAATAACGGCGTGCGTCTACGTCTTGTCCCGCATGGTCCCCATGAGGACCATATATAATGATACACACACATACACGCATATATATATATACATATATATATATATATATATATATATATATATATATATATATATATATATATATATATATATATATATATATATATATATATGTATATATATATATATACATGCATACAAAGATAATTTGACAGCCGCTGTATGAAAAAAATCTAATCTAGTAATTTCATATTGGATAGGGTAGTTCTTATTGGAGTTTTTTAACGTACGTCAATGGTATTTTTTTAAATCTTTATTTATTTCTTTAAAAATAGTCTTTAATAAAAGTGATTGGGTTAGGGTGAATGCATCGATTGGGCGGTTATTGATTTCTCCAACGGGCAGCAATGGCGTCACAGCTCGGTGGAAAAATCGAAGAAATTGCATGAAGTATAGGCGCTTCTCTATAAGGATCTCAGGCATATAGTACCTGATGTATAGGCGCTTCTCTATAAGGCACTAGGCCAGAAAGTCTGTACATGATGTATAGGCGCGTCTCCATAACTCAAGGCACTAGGGCAGATAGTACATGATGTATAGGCGCTTCTTTATAAGGCACTCGGGCAGAAAGTACATGATGTATAGGCGCGTCTCTATAAGGCACTCGGGCAGATAGTACATGATGTATAGGCGCTTCTCTATAAGGCTCTAGGGCAGAAAGTACACGATTTATAGGCGCTTCTCTATAAGGCACTCTGGCAAAAAGTACATGATGTATAGGCGCGTCTCTATAAGGCACTCGGGCAGAAAGTACATGATGTATAGGCGCTTCTATATAAGGCACTCGGGCAGAAAGTACATGATGTATAGGCGCTTCTATATAAGGCACTCGGGCAAAAAATGCATGATATACAGGCGCTTTTCTATAAGGCTCTATTGAAGAGAGTACATGATATATAGGCATGTCTCTATACGGATCTAGGGTAGAAAGTATATGATGTATAGGCGCGTCTCTGTAGACCCCTTGCAAACATGTGACCTAAATCACGTAATACCTACGTCCGCCGCCATGGTGGTGAACACCGTCAGTAAACAAACAGCTGTTGCACAGCACTAGGCCAGAAAGTACATATAGGCGCGTCTCTATAAGGCTCGATTGAAGAAAGTACATGATGTATAGGCGCGTCTCTATAAGGCTCTATTGAAGAAAGTACATGATGTATAGGCGCTTCTCTATAAGGCTCTAGGGCAGAATTTACACGATGTATAGGAAAGAAAGTACATGAATGTATAGACACGGAGAATCCAATACAAAGGTGTCAGTAACACTGCATTGTCATCGGAATGGCTAAGGCGAACGTTGGTGGTATGGATGGGGTAGTGGCGGTTGTATTGTTTACAAATAATAAATAAGGGGGGGGGGAGTTGGCAAGTCCACCCCGTACAACAAAACGTGTGTGTGCACCGATGGCCGACAACAAGCAGGTTGAAATTATTCTAACAGGTGTGTGCCGTCTTCTACGACTCTTTGATTCCCCACCCACGAGCTAATCAGGCATAATTTGTGGGCTACTTAAGATTCAGCGTCACGTGAACGCTCCAGCTCCATTCGCCTGCCTGTGTTATGGGCTTACAGTTTGAAAACTTTTGTCGATCTGATATTTTTTATGTGCATTCCGTTTACGTTTAAACGGAATAACGATGTATAGGGTCGTGGCAATGACATAAAGTCTTTAGTTACTACCGTTAAGATCTATGTGTGTGGGGTGGGGGGGGGGGGGGGTCAGTGTAAGGCGGGTAAAAAATATTTCATATAACAATACACTAAGCCACTCTTTAATTATCAAAGTTTATAAACGCAATAAGTTTGAAACGTATTAAGTTACGGATACTATTTTTATCATGTGATTACTAACTGTATCTAATTGTATCTTTCTTTGATCTCAGCCCATAGTGTGTTTTTTTTTTAAATTGCATATAATAATATGTAATACTAAAACAAAATATGGAGGTCTTAATGAGAGATTAATTTTAAGTGCTTGTTTCTGTTGTTCTATAGCCTGGTCAGTCTGTCATTGTGTCATATGAGCAGGGGCGGAACTACAGTGCCGCCAGACCCGCAATGCGGGGGGGGGCCCAGACCGATTGGGGGCCCAAAAATCCTGGCTAAATTATTTTTTAAAAAAAATGTAAAAATATTTAAAAAAAAATTAGGTGGAGGTCGAGTTATCTTTCTTCTACAGTTACAAACAAACACGATAGTCGGCAAACGTCTTTGAGAAAAATGCACAGACTATAGCTCGAGAGACCGCCAGACATATAGACAACTTCAAAGACGTAGCCTAACGTTCTTTTTTAGTGGCGTCGATTAGGAGAACAAAAAAGCATTGTTTATTGTTACATATTAAAAATACATATCTATGATTGTGTGTTTAAACTACTGCCTGAATTCTACAAAAAATATAATTATTTATTTCGATCTCATACATTTTATAATTGCGTTCATTTTTTACTTTAAACAAACTGTATCAATAACTTGTAGCGAAACATCTGAAATTTGACTGTGCCCGGCACGCTTTGAAATCGGGCTGGGGAAATGTTGCGGCGGCGACTATCCTGGGTCTTCTAGACCAGGGGTCTCCAAACTTTTCAGCCCGAGGGCCGCATTAACTATTAAATATCAGTTCGGGGGCCAGAGTTATTTCCTCGCGTCTGTTTGGGGAGGTGGAGCCCCCCCCCCCCCCAGAAGAACGTCTCGCCCCCCCACCCTCTAACTAAATATAAATTATACAGAAATATATAAAAAATGTAAGTGTCCCCCATCCCCCCACGTCTTGGAGAAAAAAGTATGTTGTTCCAAACTTTGAAAGGTACTTTGATGCTAGTTTTAATATTAGAAACGTCTTTCTTGAGCAAAAACTTATAAAATCC